CCTTCAAACAGCCCTGTATGCCACAAACCTTCAAACAGCCCTGTATGATACAAACCTTCAAACAGACCTGAATGAAACAAACCTTCAAACAGCCCTGTATGACACAAACCTTCAAACAGCCCTGTATGCCACAAACCTTCAAACAGCCCTGTATGCCACAAACCTTCAAACAGCCCTGTATGACACAAACCTTCAAACAGCCCTGTATGACACAAACCTTCAAACAGCCCTGTATGATACAAACCTTCAAACAGCCCTGTATGAAACAAACCTTCAAACAGCCCTGTATGACACAAACCCTCAAACAGCCCTGTATGCCACAAACCTTCAAACAGCCCTGTATGCCACAAACCTTCAAACAGCCCTGTATGCCACAAACCTTCAAACAGCCCTGTATGACACAAACCTTCAAACAGCCCTGTATGATACAAACCTTCAAACAGCCCTGTATGAAACAAACCTTCAAACAGCCCTGTATGACACAAACCTTCAAACAGCCCTGTATGCCACAAACCTTCAAACAGCCCTGTATGCCACAAACCTTCAAACAGCCCTGTATGCCACAAACCTTCAAACAGCCCTGTATGCCACAAACCTTCAAACAGCCCTGTATGACACAAACCTTCAAACAGCCCTGTATGATACAAACCTTCAAACAGCCCTGTATGAAACAAACCTTCAAACAGCCATGTATGACACAAACCTTCAAACAGCCCTGTATGCCACAAACCTTCAAACAGCCCTGTATGCCACAAACCTTCAAACAGCCCTGTATGCCACAAACCTTCAAACAGCCCTGTATGACACAAACCTTCAAACAGCCCTGTATGATACAAACCTTCAAACAGCCCTGTATGAAACAAACCTTCAAACAGCCCTGTATGACACAAACCTTCAAACAGCCCTGTATGCCACAAACCTTCAAACAGCCCTGTATGCCACAAACCTTCAAACAGCCCTGTATGCAGGCTTGCTGTTAAGCCAGCAGGAAGGCGATGGCAGGCGGTGTCAGCAGAATGATGTCGCCATTACAATTTTACATTTGAACAGAGCCAAGGGACAGGGATGATTTTTCTTGTCAACCGGCAGATTTTAAAAAGATGTCTCAATTTACGGGACATTTTTTAACCTAATTCTTCTGACCTTTTTTTTTTTGCCCAATCGTGTTAATTGGGTTCTTTGTAGCTATAAAATATTTGTTTTTTTATATTTCCTATTAGAGAAGGAAGAATTTAAGCATAGCGTTGGTCTTTCATGTACACAAATGGGTAAACATCAAGTTGTACATGTACACAAATGAACAAACATTGTTGGACATGTACACTAATGGGCAGACATCAAGTTGTAAATGTACACAAATGGGCAAACATTGTTGTACAATTACACTAATAGGCAGACATCAAGTTGTACAAGTACACAAATGGGCAAACATCAATATGTACATGTACACAAATGAACAAACATTGTTGTACATGTACACAAATGAACAAACATTGTTGTACATGCACACAAATGAACAAACATTGTTGTACGTGTACACTAATGGGCAGACATCAATTTATACATGTACACAAATGGGCAAACATCAAGTTATACATGTACACACTTTAAGATGTGTACACACAGTGAGTTACACCCAGTGTCTCCCTACCTCTGCTCCTCCCCATCGCTGCACACAAAATGTTATTCAAGAGATGAGGGCCCCACTGAAGGGCTGAATAGAGCTATTTAACATCAATCTAAAATATGGAACAATTATATCAGCCACACAAACAAATCTCTGGATTCTATTTCCAGGCTTGCTTTTAGCCTGTTTTCTTTAACAAGTTGTTTCAATGGATTATCTTCTCCTGTCCATTCAGGAACATTTTTAAAATATTTATTGAGAGACTTGATTTTCATTATGGCTTGAACTTGATCAATTTTCATTATGGCTTGAACTTGATCAGTTTTTGTTATGGCTTGAACTTGATCAATTTTTGTTATGGCTTGAACTTGATCAATTTTCATTATGGCTTGAACTTGATCAATTTTCGTTATGGCTTGAACTTGATCAATTTTTGTTATGGCTTGAACTTGATCAATTTTTGTTATGGTTTGAACTTGATCAATTTTTGTTATGGCTTGAACTTGATCAATTTTTGTTATGGCTTGAACTTGATCAATTTTTGTAATGGCTTGAACTTGATCAATTTTTGTTATGGCTTGAACTTGATCAATTTTCGTTATGGTTTGAACTTGATAGTTTCCTGGTTCCATCCAGTGAGTAGAAAAATATTTTAGTGCAGACGTCAACAGTACGAGGACATTGAGTTAACTTTGGTATGTTTGTTCCAGATAAATTTTAGACTAGTTTTTAGACCTTTAGACTTGTACCAAGCAGGTAACATTTAGATTTGTACATTTGTACCAAGGCAGGTAAACTTTATCACATTTGTACCAGGCAGGTAAACTTTAGACTAGTACATTTGTACCAGGCAGGTAAACTTTATCACATTTGTACCAGGCAGGTAAACTTTATCACATTTGTACCAGGCAGGTAAACTTTATCACATTTTTATCAGGCAGGTAACCTTAAGACTAGCACATTTGTACCAGGCAGGTAAACTTTAGACTAGTACATTTGTACCAGGCAGGCAACCTTTAGACTAGTACATTTGTACAAGGCAGGAAAACTTTAGACTAGTACATTTGTACCAGGCAGGTAACCTTAAGACTAGTACATTTGTACCAGGCAGGTAACCTTAAGACTAGTACATTTGTACCAGGCAGGAAAACTTTAGACTAGTACATTTGTACCAGGCAGGTAACCTTAAGACTAGTACATTTGTACCAGGCAGGTAACCTTAAGACTAGTACATTTGTACCAGGCAGGTAAACTTTATCACATTTGTATCAGGCAGGTAAACTTTATCACATTTGTATCAGGCAGGTAACCTTAAGACTAGCACATTTGTACCAGGCAGGTAAACTTAAGACTAGTACATTTGTACCAGGCAGGTAACCTTAAGACTAGTACATTTGTACCAGGCAGGTAAACTTTATCACATTTGTACCAGGCAGGTAAACTTTATCACATTTGTACCAGGCAGGTAAACTTTATCACATTTGTACCAGGCAAAAAATTTATCACATTTGTACCAGGCAAGTAAACCTTATCACATTTGTACCAGGCAGGTAACCTTTAGACTAGTACATTTGTACCAGGCAGGTAAACTTTAGACTAGTACATTTGTACCAGGCAGGAAAACTTTAGACTAGTACATTTGTACCAGGCAGGTAACCTTAAGACTAGTACATTTGTACCAGGCAGGTAAACTTTATCACATTTGTACCAGGCAGGTAAACTTTATCACATTTGTATCAGGCAGGTAAACTTTATCACATTTGTATCAGGCAGGTAACCTTAAGACTAGCACATTTGTACCAGGCAGGTAAACTTAAGACTAGTACATTTGTACCAGGCAGGTAACCTTAAGACTAGTACATTTGTACCAGGCAGGTAAACTTTATCACATTTGTACCAGGCAGGTAAACTTTATCACATTTGTACCAGGCAGGTAAACTTTATCACATTTGTACCAGGCAAAAAATTTATCACATTTGTACCAGGCAAGTAAACCTTATCACATTTGTACCAGGCAGGTAACCTTTAGACTAGTACATTTGTACCAGGCAGGTAAACTTTAGACTAGTACATTTGTACCAGGCAGGCAACCTTTAGACTAGTACATTTGTACCAGGCAGGAAAACTTTAGACTAGTACATTTGTACCAGGCAGGTAAACTTTAGACTAGTACATTTGTACCAGGCAGGTAAACTTTATCACATTTGTATCAGGCAGGTAAACTCTAGACTAGTACATTTGTACCAGGCAGGCAACCTTTAGACTAGTACATTTGTACCAGGCAGGAAAACTTTAGACTAGTATATTTGTACCAGGCAGGTAACCTTAAGACTAGTACATTTGTACCAGGCAGGTAAACTTTATCACATTTGTACCAGGCAGGTAAACTTTATCACATTTGTACCAGGCAGGTAAACTTTATCACATTTGTACCAGGCAAAAAATTTATCACATTTGTACCAGGCAAGTAAACCTTATCACATTTGTACCAGGCAGGTAACCTTTAGACTAGTACATTTGTACCAGGCAGGTAAACTTTAGACTAGTACATTTGTTCCAGGAAGGTAAACTTTATCACATTTGTACCAGGCAGGTAAACTTTAGACTAGTACATTTGTACCAGGCAGGTAAACTTTAGCACATTTGTACCAGGCAGGTAAACTTTAGACTAGTACATTTGTACCAGGCAGGTAAACTTTATCACATTTGTACCAGGCAGGTAACCTTAAGATTAGCACATTTGTACCAGGCAGGTAAACTTTAGACTAGTACATTTGTACCAGGCAGGTAACCTTTAGACTAGTACATTTGTACCAGGCAGGCAACCTTAAGACTAGTACATTTGTACCAGGCAGGTAAACTTTATCACATTTGTACCAGGCAGGTAAACTTTATCACATTTGTACCAGGCAAGTAAACCTTATCACATTAGTACCAGGCAGGTAAACTTAAGACTAGTACATTAGTACCAGGCAGGTAAACTTTAGACTAGTACATTTGTACCAGACAGATAAACGTTAGCACATTTGTACCAGGCAGGTAAACTTTAGATTAGTACATTTGTACCAGGCAGGTAAACTTTATCACATTTGTACCAGGCAGGTAACCTTTAGACTAGTACATTTGTACCAGGCAGGTAAACTTTATCACATTTGTACCAGGCAGGTAAACTTTATCACATTTGTACAAGGCAGGTAACCTTAAGACTAGTACATTTGTACCAGGCAGGTAAACTTTAGACTAGTACATTTGTACCAGGCAGGTAAACTTTAGACTAGTACATTTGTACCAGGCAGGTAAACTTAAGACTAGCACTAGTTGTGCATATATTTATTGCAACCATGAAAACAGGTGACAAGACAATAAATAACGATGGGTTGGCATCATCAAGGATTTTAATTCTCATAAACTTAAACATCATAAAGCACATTTTCAACTTTTGTGACACCAGCACTTTGTGAGATTTTTTACGTCAGCATATTATATAACTCAAGTGATATACTGGCACAAAGTTCTGTGACAGCAAATTATAAGGCATACAGACTACTTTGGTGACGTAACTGGCACAAAGTATTGTGACATCAGTATATCATGGTACTATGAATGATTTAATGAATGTGACATCAGTATATCATGGTACTATGAATGATTTAATGAATGTGACATCAGTATATCATGGTACTATGAATGATTTAATGAATGTGACATCAGTATATCATGGTATTATGAATGATTTAATGAATGTGACATCAGTATATCATGGTACTATGAATGATTTAATGAATGTGACATCAGTATATCATGGTATTATGAATGATTTAATGAATGTGACATCAGTATATCATGGTACTATGAATGATTTAATGAATGTTACATCAGTATATCATGGTACTATGAATGATTTAATGAATGTGACAATGGATTCAATGGATGACTTCATGATTGTGATGTAAGCCTACTTAGGCTTGCCATGTCAGCCCACACAGGTTTGCTATGTCAGGGATGTTATCATCCAACTGTACCCAGGGATGTTATCATCCAACTGTACCGAGGGATGTTATCATCCAACTGTACCGAGGGATGTTATCATCCAACTGTACCGAGGGATGTTATCATCCAACTGTACCGAGTGATGTTTTCATCCAACTGTACCGAGGGATGTTATCATCTAACTGTACCAAGGGATGTTATCATCTAACTGTACCGAGGGATGTTCTCATCCAACTGTACCGAGTGATGTTATCATCTAACTGTACCGAGTGATGTTCTCATCTAACTGTACTGAGCTGTGCATCTGTGTTGACTATGGGAGAGTCTATAGTTGGCTCACTGCTCTCTTCTGAACACCTCTCTCCTGAGTCACTCTCCTCTTCCTCCTCTTCTGAACAACTGTCCTCTGACTCACTCTCTAGTAGAGTGACCTGAACGCGGTTCATGTTTTTGACCAGGTCAGCCAGCTCCTCCTCGCTGCCCTCCTCATCACTGGGTGGGAGGAGATCTTGTGGAATCATGCCAGTCTCCTGCTGTACAGGCTTGTTGGTGAAGTTGGCAGGCCTGGAGACAAACACACTACATTAACACAGGCTTGTTGGTAAAGTTGGCAGGCCTGGAGACAAACACACTACATTAACACAGGCTTGTTGGTAAAGTTGGCAGGCCTGGAGACAAACACACTACATTAACACAGGCTTGTTGGTAAAGTTGGCAGGCCTGGAGACAAACACACAAACACACTACATTAACACAGGCTTGTTGGTAAAGTTGGCAGGCCTGGAGACAAACACACAAACACACTACATTAACACAGGCTTGTTGGTAAAGTTGGCAGGTCTGGAGACAAACACACTACATTAACACAGGCTTGTTGGTAAAGTTGGCAGGCCTGGAGACAAACACACTACATTAACACAGGCTTGTTGGTAAAGTTGGCAGGCCTGGAGACAAACACACTACATTAACACAGGCTTGTTGGTAAAGTTGGCAGGCCTGGAGACAAACACACAAACACACTACATTAACACAGGCTTGTTGGTAAAGTTGGCAGGCCTGGAGACAAACACACAAACACACTACATTAACACAGGCTTGTTGGTAAAGTTGGCAGGCCTGGAGACAAACACACAAACACACTACGTTAACACAGGCTTGTTGGTAAAGTTGGCAGGCCTGGAGACAAACACACAAACACACTACGTTAACACAGGCTTGTTGGTAAAGTTGGCAGGCCTGGAGACAAACACACAAACACACTACATTAACACAGGCTTGTTGGTAAAGTTGGCAGGTCTGGAGACAAACACACTACATTAACACAGGCTTGTTGGTAAAGTTGGCAGGCCTGGAGACAAACACACTACATTAACACAGGCTTGTTGGTAAAGTTGGCAGGCCTGGAGACAAACACACTACATTAACACAGGCTTGTTGGTAAAGTTGGCAGGCCTGGAGACAAACACACTACATTAACACAGGCTTGTTGGTAAAGTTGGCAGGCCTGGAGACAAACACACAAACACACTACGTTAACACAGGCTTGTTGGTAAAGTTGGCAGGTCTGGAGACAAACACACAAACACACTACGTTAACACAGGCTTGTTGGTAAAGTTGGCAGGCCTGGAGACAAACACACAAACACACTACGTTAACACAGGCTTGTTGGTAAAGTTGGCAGGCCTGGAGACAAACACACAAACACACTACATTAACACAGGCTTGTTGGTAAAGTTGGCAGGTCTGGAGACAAACACACAAACACACTACGTTAACACAGGCTTGTTGGTAAAGTTGGCAGGCCTGGAGACAAACACACTACAACACTGGACTAGGGACTAATCATGGATTACTGCTACTGCTATGTTACTTTGTTCAACCTAAATGATAATTTAAAATTACTATCAAAATTGTTCTAAAGACAGGACCAAAACTTGACCAAATAAGCTTGCACCTTGACAAACTAAATTTAACTCACTCCCTCCTAAGCCCCCACTTCCAGTTTACAAACACATTCCTCAACAAAGGGAAGCGACTTCGTTTTTTATAACATGTATTTTTAAAAAAAAAATTTTACTTTCTAATCATTAATCAATTCAATATTACAAAGACGAATGCACTCAGAAATGGACAAACTTTCAGATAAATATAACAATATCACATAACAACATAAAACAAAAACATAGAAAAAGAAAACTCAACAAAAATTGAACATGCAACATTTATTCAACACCAAAATCACAGCGTTAACCACATTTTGAAAGTGAACCAAACAAGATAAAAACTTCCATTTTTAAAACTGAAATCTCGTGGATTCTTGCTACTACGTGTTTACCCGTACTAATCTCGGGCATGCGAGGTTTCATTATCTAGTTGAAAAGAAAAGTAGGGGGGGTGTGGCCAGACACATTTAGTCGCATCCAGCGGGGGTGAGTTAAAAGCAGTTGTTCTCAACCTATTTGGAGGTACCAAACCCCCACCAGTTTCATATGTGCATTAGTTGAACCCTCCTTAATAGTTATATTGTCCACACTGAGAAAACCAGATCAAGAATCACATGAATCAGGTGTGTGTCTTGACCTCCACAGAAGCCCTGTGACAGTAACTAGGCAACAGATCTTCATTCACCACACAAGTAAAACTTACCACAGGCCTTGCTCCTGGATATACTTGATTTGCTCTTTAAAAAGGATGTGTGATATCTCTGCCTTCACTTTACCCCCTTCCTCAATAGGATCCACCATTATAAAATCACCTGGTTCAAACAAGGAACAAAACATTGTCAGTAATATCAGCAAGCAAATAGTTTGTGAGTAGGTAGGCCTACATGTTAAATCTTAGTAGCTAAGTCAAGCTGACCTGTCACAAGTAGGTAGGCCTACATGTCAAATGTTGACCTCAATTTTAGTAGCTAACTCAAGCTGATCTGTCACAAGTAGGTAGGCCTACATGTCAAATGTTGACCTCAATTTTAGTAGCTAACTCAAGCTGACCTGTCACAAGTAGGTAGGCCTACATGTTAAATGTTGACCTCAATCTTAGTAGCTAACTCAAGCTGACCTGTCACAAGTAGGTAGGCCTACATGTTAAATGTTGACCTCAATCTTAGTAGCTAACTCAAGCTGACCTGTCACAAGTAGGTAGGCCTACATGTTAAATGTTGACCTCAATCTTAGTAGCTAACTCAAGCTGACCTGTCACAAGTAGGTAGGCCTACATGTTAAATGTTGACCTCAATCTTAGTAGCTAACTCAAGCTGACCTGTCACAAGTAGGTAGGCCTACATATTAAATCTTAGTAGCTAACTCAAGCTGACCTGTCACAAGTAGGTAGGCCTACATGTTAAATCTTAGTAGCTAACTCAAGCTGACCTGTCACAAGTAGGTAGGCCTACATGTTAAATCTTAGTAGCCAACTCAAGCTGACCTGTCACAAGTAGGTAGGCCTACATGTTAAATCTTAGTAGCTAACTCAAGCTGACCTGTCACAAGTAGGTAGGCCTACATGTTAAATCTTAGTAGCTAACTCAAGCTGACCTGTCACAAGTAGGTAGGCCTACATGTTAAATCTTAGTAGCTAACTCAAGCTGACCTGTCACAAGTAGGTAGGCCTACATGTTAAATCTTAGTAGCTAACTCAAGCTGACCTGTCACAAGTAGGTAGGCCTACATGTTAAATCTTAGTAGCTAACTCAAGCTGACCTGTCACAAGTAGGTAGGCCTACATGTCAAATGTTGACCTCAATTTTAGTAGCTAACTCAAGCTGACCTGTCACAAGTAGGTAGGCCTACATGTCAAATGTTGACCTCAATTTTAGTAGCTAACTCAAGCTGACCTGTCACAAGTAGGTAGGCCTACATGTTAAATGTTGACCTCAATTTTAGTAGCTAACTCAAGCTGACCTGTCACAAGTAGGTAGGCCTACATGTTAAATGTTGACCTCAATTTTAGTAGCTAACTCAAGCTGACCTGTCACAAGTAGGTAGGCCTACATGTCAAATGTTGACCTCAATTTTAGTAGCTAACTCAAGCTGACCTGTCACAAGTAGGTAGGCCTACATGTCAAATGTTGACCTCAATTTTAGTAGCTAACTCAAGCTGACCTGTCACAAGTAGGTAGGCCTACATGTTAAATGTTGACCTCAATTTTAGTAGCTAACTCAAGCTGACCTGTCACAAGTAGGTAGGCCTACATGTTAAATGTTGACCTCAATTTTAGTAGCTAACTCAAGCTGACCTGTCACAAGTAGGTAGGCCTACATGTCAAATGTTGACCTCAATTTTAGTAGCTAACTCAAGCTGACCTGTCACAAGTAGGTAGGCCTACATGTCAAATGTTGACCTCAATTTTAGTAGCTAACTCAAGCTGACCTGTCACAAGTAGGTAGGCCTACATGTTAAATCTTAGTAGCTAACTCAAGCTGACCTGTCACAAGTAGGTAGGCCTACATGTTAAATGTTGACCTCAAATTTAGTAGCTAACTCAAGCTGACCTGTCACAAGTAGGTAGGCCTACATGTCAAATGTTGACCTCAATTTTAGTAGCTAACTCAAGCTGACCTGTCACAAGTAGGTAGGCCTACATGTCAAATGTTGACCTCAATCTTAGTAGCTAACTCAAGCTGACCTGTCACAAGTAGGTAGGCCTACATGTCAAATGTTGACCTCAATTTTAGTAGCTAACTCAAGCTGACCTGTCACAAGTAGGTAGGCCTACATGTCAAATGTTGACCTCAATTTTAGTAGCTAACTCAAGCTGACCTGTCACAAGTAGGTAGGCCTACATGTCAAATGTTGACCTCAATTTTAGTAGCTAACTCAAGCTGACCTGTCACAAGTAGGTAGGCCTACATGTCAAATGTTGACCTCAATTTTAGTAGCTAACTCAAGCTGACCTGTCACAAGTAGGTAGGCCTACATGTCAAATGTTGACCTCAATTTTAGTAGCTAACTCAAGCTGACCTGTCACAAGTAGGTAGGCCTACATGTCAAATGTTGACCTCAATTTTAGTAGCTAACTCAAGCTGACCTGTCACAAGTAGGTAGGCCTACATGTCAAATGTTGACCTCAATTTTAGTAGCTAACTCAAGCTGACCTGTCACAAGTAGGTAGGCCTACATGTCAAATGTTGACCTCAATTTTAGTAGCTAACTCAAGCTGACCTGTCACAAGTAGGTAGGCCTACATGTCAAATGTTGACCTCAATTTTAGTAGCTAACTCAAGCTGACCTGTCACAAGTAGGTAGGCCTACATGTCAAATGTTGACCTCAATCTTAGTAGCTAACTCAAGCTGACCTGTCACAAGTAGGTAGGCCTACATGTCAAATGTTGACCTCAATCTTAGTAGCTAAGTCAAGCTGACCTGTCACAAGAGATTTACTTGTGACAGAAAAACTTTTGCTAGCTGGCTACAAGTGATTTCCCTTACCTCGTTTAATCCACACGTGTTTCCTGAACTTGGTTGGCATGCTAGCAAGAAAAACAGTTCCATCAGCTGTGACAACCTCATGCAAGTTGTTGCCCTTTGCTGCAGTCACCTGACAAAAACACATCCACGTTTGACACTATGAGCCAGTAAATAACACAACACCACAGACAGGTAAATAACACAACACCACAGACAGGTAAATAACACAACACCACAGACAGGTAAATAACACAACACCACAGACAGGTAAATAACACAACACCACAGACAGGTAAATAACACAACACCACAGACAGGTAAATAACACAACACCACAGACAGGTAAATAACACAACACCACAGACAGGTAAATAACACAACACCACAGACAGGTAAATAACAACACCACAGACAGGTAAATAACAACACCACAGACAGGTAAATAACACAACACCACAGACAGGTAAATAACACAACACCACAGGTAAATAACACAAGTGAGAGACTAGAAATATTGGCTAAATAAGTCAACATCAAGCTGATTGTTCATTTCAGGTTTGTGGTTTTAAAAAAAGGACAAAGAGTATCAAGTAGTTCCATAAATCTGTTCAAGTTGTTCCTTTTTTAATGCCATCTTACAATAATGTCTCATGGGGTATTTAACTTGTTCTTCATAAAATAACTTGGAACAAACTTTATTACAATTGATACAGTTTTCAAGAACATCAGGCACAACCTATGGTGAAACTACTCACCTTGACAATTGTAACTACTCACCTTGACAATTTGTCTGTCACCCTCAGGTAGAGGAAACTCCTCTAACACTTCCTTGGTTACATGCTTTTTCTTTGTGGTGGCTGACATTTTTTTCTCTTGGATACATCAAATGGTGATCAACTACAAAGTAAACTTCAGTTAGGACAAAGTTTAAAACAGACATTGATCACTTACAGGCAATAGTCTACCTACTCCAAAATCACCATTAACCTACTCAGTTGACTTGGAATTAGGAACAGTATGTAGTCAGTCTGTCAAGGTGTCATTGTCAACCTTATGTTAACTAACTTATAACATTTTCCAATGTTTATACTTTGTGTTTCTTGTGTTAGTTCTCAAAAAATGACCTCTAGTCTAGTATTACTCGCTAAACTCGAGGTGTAACCGGTTACTAACAACAATATGGCGTCCACACTAGATGCATTTTTGCATTGTAACAACTATAGGTAGCAGGGCTATATATGCCAGAAGAGCATTTTAAATCTAATATTTACACACTCTAGTCCCAAAAATGACTTGGGGTTTTCTCATTGTGGACGTAATGGAGGGGGTTGTCACTAAATATCAGATTTACATTTAAAAAGTAGTGTGCATCTGATCTAGAGTGAAAAGAATTTCATTCATTTTCAGACAGGAATCTCTTCAGAAGTTAGTGTGTTGGGGGGGGGGGGGGGGGAAACTGCTGTGACTGGTATTTATAATATAGGCCTTAAGCACAACCAAATAAATATTATTAGGCCTATTTAGTAGATCTAGGCCTAAGTGCGGTAATATAGGAAACGAGCCGACCCGCGGCATATCATACGCAGCTATTTAGTATTTACTATTAGGCCTAGGCGTTTTATTTTCTACATTTCAGTACTTCATAATTGCTGAATTCGATAGTACCAATGCTGCCACTGAAAGATCTAAATATTTTAGTTCTAGTCTAGAAATAGTCTTGTTTGTACAGTAATGTAGTAGATCTCTAGATCTAGTAGACCCCACCTCAGAAAAAAGTCTGGGAACTCTGGGGAAATAGAAAGTATTCAAGTAAGTTAGTTAAGTTTGAAACCGAGGGTGGTGGTACACCCTTCCCGGCGCCCGGGGACAATTCCCCCCCCCCAAGATTTCGATTTGCACCCCCCCTCAAGATTTCTATTTGCACCCCCCTCAACCTTTCAATTTATTTTTCGAACCCATTTTGGCGCCCCCTAATTAAGGTCGGCGCCCGGTGACACGTCCCCCCCCCCCCTCGCTACGCTACTGGGTAGATCTCTAGTCCCAGCTAGGCTTTAACTTAAGTCTAGGCATTTCGATGTCCGCCATTTTGTTTAATCTGGCCACATCCGAAATTTTTCAAGCCAACTTTTGTAATTTCGGCCATTTTCCATCCAAGTGCTTAGTTATCATGAGAGAATCGATAAATTAGTGTATTCGATACGTCAAAGTGGGCTGTTTTTATATTCTATGTTTGTATGGAAAACTATTAGTTACATTTTAACATATCGATCCCAATTTTATCGAGGTATCTTAGCGAGCACGTCTCATTAAACGCAGTAACCGACCTCTTTCAATTAGTATTAATTTTAGCAAGAAAGTAAAGTATAATAAGCTAGACATTAGTTGTAATGAGCATCCTAACCATTCTCAAGAACAAAAATACCAGTTTCATAGAGTTCTTTACATTGGAACATGCTTAAAAAGCATTGGTAAATCTTGGGGGGGTCCCGCTGACACAATTTTTTAACAGGGCAATAGGGGCCGCGAGGTTACCTATTATCGATAGAACCAAATTTCGGCATTTAAAAAAGAGATAAGTTCAGGAAACTAGATCTAGACTAGTAAATAAGTAATGCCAAACTATTTTCATGGGTGGAAATGTTTGTTTTATGGGGCTTTTTAGCTCTTTGTAACCAGATATGGCTTCTTGCGTGAAGTGAAGGGGATCTACGCAATTTTAATAATGACGGTCCATAGACCATATGCATGAAATATAAAAAATCGCACATTTGTATTACTGTTTAACACTATTCATTGAATTGGCAAGATTTTAGCTTATAGAATGTTTTTTATGGATTAAATAAAATTTAAAGCAATGGAATTAATAGTCCCATTCATTAATAATCTTCCATATTAGTCATTTTCAATTGGGTAATAATAATAGGCCTAATTAAAATTTTAAATAGTAATAAATAGGCCCTTATAAATATTAGGCCCCTATAGAATAGATTTAGATCTATGTATTTTAATGAGTAATTGCTTATAAGAATCTAATAGAACTAATATTTATTGCATCAAGCTTAAATATATAATTATGTTGTAAAATTACTTATGGATGATGTCTAAACTTTAGTTACCCCGTTTCAGGAAAAAACTGATTAAGAAAATAATTACAAAGATTAAATTGGTCATTTCTCAGATTATAGTATATTATCTTTAAAATTTAATAATAGCTAAAATATACTACTAGATCTATAGAGGCATGGAAAGTAAAATAAATGAAGTCAAAGATAAAATAGAAACATTAACACTTCACTTTAATAATGTGATCTAAAGCAACAGTAATAGATAAATTTTTTTGAAGTCAAAAAGAAAAACAGAAACAGTAACACTTTGAACAATGTGACTTAATTTTATAACTTAAACTAAGCAACAGTAATTTTTTTTAAACAGTAGGTTCAGATCAGCAAATAAGGCAGCTGTCTATCCTTCGGTTGCGACACATCTCATCTAGTTTCTGTAGGCTGTCTATTGATTAACCATCCTTGGCTACTTATTAAAAGTAGCCTATAACTAATGCTACTAATATTTAGATACTTCAACATAATCCTAACCATATCATATTCCAGTATGAGTATAATACACAGGTATTATTGATACAAGATTTCAGTGCCACCCCCATTAATTAGACTTTATTATATGTGATTGTCTTTTTCTCCTAGCATTTTTTTGACTTGTAAATTTCTATTCCCAACATCCTTAAGCATCTATGTGCTAAGTTTTATCTTTGTATCATCAATAGCAACATAGATATTCAGTATGAAAAGTGACTTGTGGCAATCATAGTAGAACGGCACCGCACTCCTTAATTGGGCTTTATTAAGTTAATTATTAGTTGTTTTCCTTTTAATTAAGCTGTATTTCACTTGCATATTCCTGTTGCCTGTACTCCCTAGCACCAATATGCAAAGTTTTATCAATATATCTTTATTAACAACAGAGTTGTGCAGTTTGACAATAGACTAACGTTGCTCTCTCTATAAAAACGCCATGACCCTTAATTAGTCTTAATTATTTTTGGTTTTACCTTTACTGATCTTTATTTCAATTGCATATTCCTGTTGCCTGTACTCTCTAGTATCAATATGCAAAGTTTTATCATTACATGTTAAAAAATAACAATGCTATATGAACTCAAAGAAGGACACCAAGTATTTTGCAACTTTACAATAAAATATAAGCTGTTTAACATACAACTTTAAAAATTCATAAAAAAAAAACTACTGGGCCTACAGTGATAACTTTAGTGGTTTATTAAATGGCAGTTTATTATGGCTATGGCCTTCAATATTATTAGCGTGTATTGCGGCTTCGTAATTTCTAAGGGCAACCATTTTGGAAATGGCGCTGACTTCCCCTTTCGCTTTTTGTCCCAGGCTTCCGTCACCGCCGCGCGTGAGTCTAAAAATAGACTAACGGCTTGTTCCAACCGGCATTTTGTTGACGCTCTCTTCCCTTCGGGTTTACTTGACATATTGGAAAATATTTTGGCGGACGATATTTATTAATTTAGTTTTTCTTTCTTCGGATTATTGGAGTCAAAAATAGAGGTAATTTCAGCATTTTTTTTCTATTTGAATTAGATTCTTGTTCTTGTTAAAAGTTTGGTTGTTCGACAGAGTTTTGCAAATTTTCTTTAAATTAAGTCTGAAAACGGCTTATTTCCCACCAACAAGTCGTTTAAATGTCCCTGCAAAGTCTGAATCGATAGCTTTGTAGCCGCCATTATTTTAAAAAGATTTTTAAAATATTGTATATTTATTAAGTTTTTTAAAAATAGCATTATTAAAAAAAACTATTTTACGAAAAAAAGTAATTAGGTTTAATAGTGTCATTAGGTAGATTTAGTTAGATCTAGATCTAGAATCTAGACTAGATTCTAGAGTCTAAACTAGACCTAGAATATCTAGATTCTAGATCTAGATCTAGATCTAGTAGATCAGATCAATTCTAGATCTATAATCTATAAAATCTAGATACTCTATAATCTATATCATCTAGAAATCTAAATCCAAGTCTAGATCTTGTAAAATAGATCTAGAGTCTAGTCTAGATAATCTTAGATCTAGATCTAGATAGATTAGATCCAGATGATTGTCAAGCTAGACTAGATGTAGATTCTATACAATACATTCTATAGTATAGTATACTATAAGCCTAATCTAGATTATTTTAAAAGATCTAGATCTCTATTAACTAGATTCTATCTAATTTTAAAAGATCTAGATCTCTATTAACTAGATTCTATCTAATTTTCTAGATATAGACTCTAGATTCTAGAATCTCTAATCTACTTTTTTTTTTCAGTCTGTGGTCTTGCAGCTCTTTGATTGAAATCTGAGTGAGAAATCATTCAGCCATCGGAATCACATTTAGACATTTCTGATAAGTGACAGTACTTTAAGTGATCATAATTATTTACCTAATTATTAATTATAGACTACTTTTAATTATACCTATTTAGTGTTAAGTAGCCTAATTAAATCTAGATCTAATCTAGTTCTAACTTACCTCTACTCTAAACAATAGTAACTTTTTTTTTTACTAGACTCACAACTTTAAAAACAAATGGTTTTTTTTGTGTGTGAAATAAACCTAGTAGGCGTAGTCTATTTATTTTAAAATAAACCTTATGCCTAGATATCTATATCTAAATTTTCCAAATGTATTTTCAGAAGTTCGAATGAGGAGATGGAGATGGCTGGGCCATGTCCTACGCATGAGCAAAAGATGACTCCCCAACATGGCACTGGAAAACGAAAGAGAGGGAGACCACTGGGAACATGGAGGAGATAGATGGAAGAAGAAGTGCAAGCTGCTGGCAAGACCTGGCATGAACTAAAGTGGCTTGCCCAAGACAGAGTGGAATGGCAGGGATTTGTTGCTGCCCTATACTCCACAGGGAGTGATGAGGATTAAGTAAGTAATTTGTAATAGACTACTAATGTAACAGACTTTTTTCTAACACTAATTGTTTATTTTAGTATACTAAGTCATGACTTGATTCATCAACTTACAGCTATAAAATACAGTTGCACAGAACTTCCTTTATAATTCATATTTTTCTACAATAAGTAAACTAAGAAAAGATACTAAATCATTGCAGAGAAAGCAGACACAGATCCAGTGTTGGAAGAGGAAGTATTTTACATAAAAGAAAAAAAAAAAAACAGATGTCAAAGCAGGTATTGGCTGGTGCAGAAACAGCATGAAAGGGTAAGTTATTGATGATTTCAAACATAAAATATGCTAAATTGCAGGTTAGGTTTCAAAGAACAACTGGACATCTTCAGCAAGAGAATTGAGAACCAAGATTGATAGTGTTAAATGGGAGATGGATTTGCTGACAATGACAGAGTATTGAAGGAGATAGATGATGCTTTAAGAGGAGAAAGGGTCAAGATCTCAGTAAAGAATGACATTGTTCAGGCAGAGAATCTCAAACTGATTGAGGAGTTTGACAGGGTCATCGACACAAATCAGTTACAGCACAAAATAGACACAGACATTCAATCTCAAATGAAGCAAATGAAGAAAAAGTTGGAAGCTATGGAACGCAGAGATACTGAAAATTCCATCTATGATGTGTTGTCTGGATCGAATGTCTCAGTAAACCATCCCCTATTTCGTGGTGTTGACAGAAGCTGAAACCCTCTTTGTCAAGAATTGTGGGTGGTAAAGACCTGGTTGTTGTCCAGCTGACTGACAAGTGGGAGCTAGATGATCAGAAAGTGCATCGCTATTATGTGAGGATTATTAACAGAGTACTTGCTAAAAAGAACAAGTGTGTTGTCTACACTGTAGGCTACTGGGCACTGGATGAGGATGAAGCTGAGGACTTTAGCCTACCTGCTGAGTCACTAATAGCTGACTTGATTAGTAGTGATTGATTTTTTATAGAATACATAAAAATTATATTGGCTATTGTATTTACGCAGCAAAGCAAATGTAATGACATGGTATTATTTTTTTTAATCTCTTTTTTTATATTTTACTTATGGTATTCTAATTTGATACACAGTATAGTGTAAACAAATCAAATAACTTTTTTTTTTCTTTGCAGATTTTTGTATCTTTCCTGGACTGATGACTTTCATTCAACCTGATCATTTTTTTATTTGCATCAACTAAAACTTGTTATATAAATCACTTTGTTGTACTCACACCTTAAACTTAAACCCATTATTACTTTTGTACTTTTCATTGATAATTGAAATTTATATAATTGCATCTAAATCTAATAAATAAATATTTTTTGGAAAGCAAACCATTTTGATTCTTTTTATCTTTTGTTTGAATTTGAAACCAGGTCTTGTATAAGAAATTATACTGGTGGGTCTGTGAGTAACACCATGTTTGCACTTACCACATGAATACTATACATGTCTAGAAAAAAACAACAATCTCCAATGAGTAAGCCTTCATATACATGTTCTGATAAAATAAGCTTATGCTGAAGTTTTTTCTCTAGACTTGTGCAATTCACAGTGCAACAACAATTATTGGAAGTAAGCAGTCCATTAATAAATAAATATATATTTATTAGACACCAAATTACATATTAAATATTTAGAATGAATAAATAATCATAGTGAGAGATAATGGTTCCATTAATTAGTATCACTAGCTTAACAGATGAATTTTTATAACTTACTATAATGTGTTCAAGCAAGGTTAATATTGATAATCAATAGGCCTTACTATAAGAAGCAGCTGAACACCTTTGTAGAGGGTCTATATAAACTATATTATAACATTTTCACTATTTTAGACAATGGTATTGGTATGAAATTGTTGGTCATGTAGGGCCCTACACAAATGTTAAAACCTAATAATAGAAAAAAAAAATATTTTGCTACTACTAGGCCTACATGGTGGTTGTAATTCAAGTTTTCAGTAGGCCTATGCCTAATAATTTATTCAATTATTAATAGGCCTAGTTGTGTATAGTAAATAAAATTTTGATTAGTCAAACTCATAATAAAATACTACATTAACAATTTATAGTAAAATGACGAAAAGTCCGAAAATATAATTTGACGCGTATGACGTCATCAAGTTGTGTACTACCAATATCGGAGACACTTTTTTTTTTAATGTAAGAGGAAAAATAATGGTGGCAGGTTAATCCAAATTTTTTATAAACACAAAAATTTTAAAATCGAAATAGGCTAAATAAACTTTTCCTAGACACACACAGAGTATAAAAAGTAGTTTCAGTAAAAAATTACGCGTCGATCGGTATCTTTTCCTCCCGAAACTAACGAATTTTCAATTTTCGAAATACACGCTAATATTATTAGCGTGTATTTCGAAAATTGAAAATTCGCTATTTTCGGGAGGAAAAGATACCGATCGACGCGTAATTTTTTACTGAAACTACTTTTTATACTCTGTGTGTGTCTAGCAAAAGTTTATTTAGCCTATTTCGATTTTAAAATTTTTGTGTTTATAAAAAATTTGGATTAACCTGCCACCATTATTTTTCCTCTTACATTAAAAAAAAAAGTGTCTCCGATATTGGTAGTACACAACTTGATGACGTCATACGCGTCAAATTATATTTTCGGACTTTTCGTCATTTTAATATAAATTGTTAATGTAGTATTTTATTATGAGTTAGACTTATAAAAATTATATTTACTATACACAACTAGGCCTATTAATAATTGAATAAATTATTAGGCATAGGCCTACTGAAAACTTGAATTACAACCACCATGTAGTAGTAGCAAAATATTTTTTTTTTATTATTAGATTTTAACATTTGTGTAAGCCAAGGCCCTACATGTCCAACAATTTCATACCAATACCATTGTCTAAAATAGTGAAAATGTTATAATATAGTTTATATAGGCCCTCTACAAAGGTATTCAGCTGCTTCTTATAGTTAGGCCTATAGATTATCAATATTATTAACCTTGCTTGAACACATTATAGTAAGTTATACTTATACAAATTCATCAGTTAAGCTAGTGATACTAATTAATGGAACCATTATCTCTCACTATGATTATTTATTCATTCTAAATATTTAATATGTAATTTGGTGTCTAATAAATATATATATTGACTGCTTACTTCCAATTACTGTTGTTGCACTGTGAATTGCGCAAGTCTAGAGAAAAAACTTCAGCATAAGCTTATTTTATCAGTACATGTATATGAAGGCTTACTCATTGCAAGTTGTTTTTTTCTAGACATGTATAGTATTCATGTGGTAAGTGCAAACATGGTGTTACTCTGACAGATCCACCAGTATAATTTCTTATACAAGACCTGGTTTCAAATTAAAACAAAAGATAAAAATAACAAGAACCAAAATGGTTTGCTTTCCAAAAAATATTTATTTATTAGATTTAGATGCAATTATATAAATTTCAATTATCAATGAAAAGTACAAAGTAATAATGGGTTTAAGTTTAAGGTGTGAGTACAACAAAGTGATTTATATAACATGTTTTAGTTGATGCAAATTAAAAAATGATCAGGTTGAATGAAAGTCATCAGTCCAGGAAAGATACAAAAATCTGCAAAGAAAAAAAAAGTTATTTGATTTGTTTACACTATACACTATACTGTGTATCAAATTAGAATACCATAAGTAAAATATAAAAAAAAAAGATTAAAAACATAATACCATGTTATTACATACCAACCTTTATTTTTTAACAAAAAATTTAGCGCACTTTTGAAAAAATAGAAATTATATACATATTGTAAAGACATAAATATTGCAATCATTGCATGTAACTGTAAACATAAAAATATATAACAAAGGAACAAAGCAAATTTAAAATGAAACATTAATTATTTTTTAAAGCTCAAATTTTTAATAATCATGCTGTCCAAGGATTAACAGCAGATTAGGATGTAAAGCAGAGATCACTACTAATCAAGTCAGCTATCAGTGACTCAGTAGGTAGGCAAAAGTCCTCATCTTCATCCTCATCCGGTGCCCAGTAGCCTACAGTGTAGACAACAGACTTGTTCTTTTTAGCTAGTACTCTGTTAATAATCCTCACATAATAGCGATGCACTTTCTGATCATCTAGCTCCCACTTGTCAGTCAGCTGGACACCAACCAGGTCTTTACCACCCACTATTCTTGACAAAGAGGGTTTCCGCTTCTGTCAACACCACGAAATAGGGGATGGTTTACTGAGACATTTGATCCAGACAACATATCATAGATGGAATTTTCAGTGTCTCTGCGTTCCATAGCTTCCAACTTTTTCTTCATCTGCTTTATTCGAGATTGAATGTCTGTGTCTATTTTGTGCTGTAACTGGTTTGTGTCGATGACCCAGTCAAACTCCTCAATCAGTTTGAGATTCTCTGCATGAACAATGTCATTCTTTACTGAGATCTTGACCCTTTCTCCTCTTAAAGCATCATCTATCTCCTTCAATACTCTGTCATTGTCAGCAAATCCATCTCCCATTTAACACTATCAATCTTGGTTCTCAATTCTCTTGCTGAAGATGTCCAGTTGTTCTTTGAAACCTAACCTGCAATTTAGCATATTTTATGTTTGAAATCATCAATAACTTACCCTTTCATGCTGTTTCTGCACCAGCCAATACCTGCTTTGACATCTGTTGTTTTTTTTTTTCTTTTATATAAAATACTTCCTCTTCCAACACTGGATCTGTGTCTGCTTTCTCTGCAATGATTTAGTATCTTTTCTTAGTTTACTTATTGTAGAAAAATATGAATTATAAAGGAAGTTCTGTGCAACTGTATTTTATAGCTGTAAGGTGATGAATCAAGTCATGACTTAGTATACTAAAATAAACAATTAGTGTTAGAAAAAAGTCTGTTACATTAGTAGTCTATTACAAATTACTTACTTAATCCTCATCACTCCCTGTGGAGTATAGGGCAGCAACAAATCCCTGCCATTCCACTCTGTCATGGGCGAGCCAGTTTAGTTCATGTCAAGTCTTGCCAGCAGCTTGCACTTCTTCTTCCATCTCTCTCCTCCATGTTCCCAGTGGTCTTCCCCTCTTTCATTTTCCAGTGCCATGTTGGGGGAGTCATATTTTGCTCATGCGTAGGACATGGCCCAGCCATCTCCATCTCCTCATTCGAACTTCTGAAAATGCATTTGGAAAATTTAGATATAGATATCTAGGCATAAGGTTTATTTTAAAATAAATAGACTAGGCCTACTAGGTTTATTTCACACACAAAAAAACCATTTGTTTTCAAAATTGTGAGTCTAGTAAAAAGTTACTATTGTTTAGAGTTTAGAGTAGAGGTAAGTTAGAACTAGATCTAGATTTAATTACTTAACACTAAATAGGTAGATCTATAATTAAAAGTAGTCTATAATTAATAATTAGGTAAATAATTATGATCACTTAAAGTACTGTCACTTATCAGAAATGTCTAACTGTGATTCTGATGGCTGAATGATTTCTCACTCAGATTTCTATCAAAGAGCTGCAAGACCACAGACTGAAAAAAAAAAGTAGATTAGAGATTCTAGAGTCTATATCTAGAAAATTAGATTAATTTTTTAATAGAGATCTAGAATCTAGATCTAGATCTTCTAAAATAATTTAGATTAGGCTTATAAAATTATACTTAATTGTACTATACTATAGAATATGTATAGAATAAAGAATCTACATCAATCTAGATCTATTATTAAATCTAGAGATTCTAGGTTTCATAAATTGATCTAGATCTAGATCTAGATTCTTGATCTAGTGATAGTGATCTAGCCTCACCTAGTGATCTAGATCTAGTCTAGAGTCTAGCTTGACGATCATCTGGATCTAATCTAGATCTAGAATCTAGATCTAATTCTAAGAATCTAGACTAGACTCTAGACTAGATCTAGACTAGAATGATAGAATCTCTAGATCTGGATTTAGATTTCTAGATGATATATGTATAATCTGGATCTAGAATTTCTAGAAATTCTAGGTCTAGTCTAGCTAGATCTCTAGATCTAGACTAGATCTAGATCTAGAATCTAGATTCTAAATCTACCTAATGAGTCCTAATGACACTATTAAACCTTATTACTTTTTTTCGTAAAATAGTTTTTTTTAATAATGCTATTTTTAAAAAACTTATTAAATATACAATATTTTAAAAATCTTTTTAAAATAATGGCGGCTACAAAGCTATCGATTCAGACTTTGCAGGTACATTTAAACGACTTGTTGGTGGGAAATTAGCCGTTTTCAGACTTAATTTAAAGAAAATTTGCAAAACTCTGTCGAACTACCAAAATTTTAAAAAGAACTGGAATCTAATTCAAATAGAAAAAAAGTGATGAAATTACCTCTATTTTTAACAGCAATATTCCGAAGAAAGAAAAACTAAATTAATAAATATCGTCCGCCAAAAAATTTTCCAATATGTCAAGTAAACCCGAAAGGCAGAGAGCGTCAACGAAATGCCGGTTGGAACAAGCCGTTAGTCTATTTTTAGACTCACGCGCGGCGGTGACGGAAGCCTGGGACAAAAAGCGAAAAGGGAAGTCAGCGCCATTTCCAAAATGGTTGCCCTTAGAAATTACGATGCCGTAATACACGCTAAATTATGTGTGTTTTATCATTCTGAGATAATTAGGCAAAATTTACCAAAATGCCTAACTTAAGTCGAATAAGTTGCCTAAACTTACATTGTAACCTATATTAATGGGGTATCAATGGTAAGTGTGAAGTGTCAAAACAAAATTGCTTAACTCGTTAATGTTATAAGTAAATATTGTTACGGTAAGCTTACTTCATGCTTAACACGTTAGTCTTCTTACTTATCAACTTTAACTTCCGTCAAAACAATAATATTGTAGCGGAATGGCCAGCTTTTTATTTTCTAAAACGCTACGTGCTAAACATAATTATAAAAAGTTTAGTAGCATTGGGTTTTGTGTTCTTTGGAATTTTTTGTGCCGGAAAAAGAATTTTCTTTTTCGTGGGGGTGAGGGGTGTTGGTGGCAAAACCAATGCTTTCTATAACTTGTGTGCACATAGTGTACTTTTAATAATTTCTATGCTTAACACCTTCTAAAATTCAGCTAAAAAATGTGCTTAAACAAAGAAGCTAAAAGAAGCCCCGAACGAAAAGGAATTCATATAGAAGATATATACTTTTATCTGTGTCCGCCCCCCACCCCCCTGAAAAATTTAGCCGTCCCCCCCCCCCCCCCCCCCAAAAAAATATCAAGTGCCCCCCGGATAAAAAAAAAAAGTCTGGAAGAAACACTGATCTCACCGTGGATATACTTTGCAATGAAATAGGTCAGATGACTTATAAAAATGTTTTAATTAAAAAGTATGGGAGACCGTCTGCTATATATATATATATATGTGAGTGTGTGTGTGTGTGTGTGTGTGTGTGTATAAGAAACACGTCTTCGAATCAATAATAATGCTAATAAAAAATTAAAAATTAAAAATCTGTGGCACTTCTTCATTTTTAGCGCAATTTCCATACGGACACTTGCGATTATTAGCTCGTTATTTCTGGATGGATGGATGTGTGTCCGCAATGGATGGATGTGTGTCCTGGATTTCCCGGAAAAGCCAAAAAAAAACTCGTTTTTAGTGCAATTTCCATACTGACAATTGCGATTATTAATTCGTTATTTCTAGATGGATGGATGTGTGTCCGCAGCTTTAAGTCATATCTCCTCCTCAACGAAGCAATATCGAGGACTAGTTCCAAAAGCAAATATGTTAAGTAAGTTCCGAGGATGATTGTGGGCCAAAAAAATTCCCCGAATTCCTTCCTGGATTTCCCGGAAAAGCCAAAAAACCTCGTTTTTAGTGCAATTTCCATACTGACAATTGCGATTATTAATTCATTATTTCTAGATGGATGGATGTGTGTCAGCAGCTTTATGTCGTATCTACTCCTCAACGAAGCAATATCGAGGACTAGTTCCAAAAGCAAATATGTTAAGCAGTTAAGCAAATTCCGAGGATGATTGTGGGCCAAAAAAAAAAATCCCGCAATTCCTTCCTGGATTTCCCGGAAAAGCCAAAAAACCTCGAACAAATGCAGTTTTTGGTCCATATCTCGGCAACCAGACCACTTAGCGACTTGAAACATTTACCAATCGATTCCTGCCATAATTTAGAACAATATTGCCGAAGAAAGTTTTCAATAATATCCTTTCGATCGGTCAGAAGAAAATTAATTAAGGAAATTGCGCTTAAATTGTCACTAGACTTTTTATTAACTTGTTTTTATTAAAGTGTTTCAATTTGAGAAGAATATTTCACTCAGGCATTTAAAAGAGTTTATGTTGGTAGTGGGGGCAGGAACCGCAAATGTCGTACCGTATAAAATAACTACGTCTGTGGTTATTTGATTTATTTTTCTTGAAGATTATTTCGAATATATCATGAGCCCATTTGTCCTAAGCTTGCAAAACCAAACCAAAATGCTTGGCTGAATTAATCAAGGACATCTGATAACTGCGTGTGTGTGTGTGTGTGTGTGCTTGCGTGTGTGTGTGTGTGTGTCGGGGGGGGGTGGAACTAAAAGTCACAATTTCGAGTTACTCAATTGGCCTATACACATTAATACAACACATTTAAAAAGTAACACAACGAACCTGCATGATCTTATTTTCCTGAGATGTAAATGAAAATGTGATATTGTAAAGGTTGTGACTTTTTGCCTCCTTTTGGATTAAGAGACACAAGGGATGGGTCAAAAGGTTACAAACAGATCTATATTATCGAGCCCTTTAATTAAACTAAAATAATTTAGTAGTGACCCATTGGTTTTTAACAAATAAACATCTGTTGTCATCTTTCCCAGGCTGAAAATCCCAGCGCCAGCTGTTGGGGTCAGAGTTTCATCCAGACATCTCTTCGGCGGGGGGGGGGGGGGGGGGGGGGGGGGAATTGCGAGACGCGAAAAGCGAAATGGCGAGGCGGGAAAATGCGAGAACATAATGCGAGACATACCTGCGGAATTAAGGGTAAATAGCGAGACACTTTTTGCGAAAAAAAAAAATTCATGCTTTTTTTCATCTTTATTTATTTAAATTATTTTTTGTTTTGTTTTAAAATAAACAAGCATTTAGCCATACCCTTTAACACGAGTGTTGTATGTTATTTTTTATCTAGATTTTATTATTATCTTTATTTATTTAAATTATTTTTTGTTTTGTTTTAAAATAAACAAGCATTTAGCCATACCCTTTAACACGAGTGTTGTATGTTGTTATTTTTTATCTAGATTTTATTATTATCTTTATTTATTTAAATTATTTTTTTGTTTTGTTTTAAAATAAACAAGCATTTAGCCATACCCTTTAACACTAGTGTTGTATGTTGTTATTTTTTATCTAGATTTTATTATTATAGATAGATACTAAGAAGATAGATAGATCTATATCTAGATCTATCTATTTAAGAATCCTAACATCGTTGCTGTGCTACTGTCATCGCCCGCTCTCGTTAGCGAGAGGAAAATCCCGTGTCAGTCGGCATTAATTTTAAAAATCTAGTCCGCTCATGTTTATACAAACGTGAGCTGTGTCATTGTGAATTGGTATAATCTTGTCAGCAGGAGAGATATTCTGCAACATGTATTTATGGATTTTTTGTGTAAAAGTATAAAGAATTCTAAAAAGTGCAATTTATTTTTTTATTAAGTAATTTTAATTACAAACAAAATTTACAAACAAATCGTAGGCGGCGGTTATAATACAAAATTTCTATGCAACAATAGAAAATATGTTTGCGGCGGCAGCGGATCAGGGCACGGCGATCTTCAAAGACGGTAAATCAGGCGGCCTCGGCGTTCCACACAAAAGACAGAAGTTGATCTATCGTCGGCGGTATTTCCGTCGGTTTCGAACAAGGTGGTATTCTAAGTCGACACAAAAGATGGGGGGAGTTGACAAATCATCAGTATGTCTAGCGACGGAAAAATCGGAAGTTTTAACAATGTAAACGAAACGTCTTTGAAGTCTGGACCAAATACCACTAAAAATCGGGTGCGGTAAATTTTTCGCAGAAATCTTCGCATTTCATCACCACCCAGCGTAAGTATCGGGTTGTGGTAAAATGCGAGACAAAAAGTCACGTGACCGACCGTTTTCGCGCCCTTCTCGCATTTTCCCGCCTCGCCATTTCGCTTTTCGCGTCTCGCAATTTCCCCACACCCGGGGGGGGGGGGGTAACCTGGGAGTTTGTGCGAACCTTACATGTTATAGGCTTACAAAAATTAAACATTTCTAATTTTAAAGAGAAAATAAAGCTTGGTGCATTTGGATTCGTAGCTAATTATAGTTAACTGCATCTTGAAGCACCACCCACTGGGCTTGACACCATCGTTAATGCACGTGACATACAACTTGATGACGCCACTAAGTACCAGTGGCGTAGGCAGGGGGGGGGGGTTAGGGGGGGGGTCATATATATATAATGGCCACCTGTAAACCTAGACACAATATATTTCATTATGACTTTCAAATAATAAAGACCTAGGAAGATCAAGAAACAGGATGACTTGTAACCCCACTGAGCAGGGGCGTAGCGAGGGGGGGGGGGGCGGGGGGTGCGGACCGCACCGGGTGACACCATTTAGGGGGGTGACACCAAGGCAAAAAATAGCAAAATATATAGAGAAAAACTTGAGGGGGGGGGGTGCAAATCGAAAGTTTGAGGGGGGAGGTGCAAATCGAAAACTTGAGGGGGGTGCAAAATCGAAAGTTTAAGGGGGGGGGGGTGCTAATCGAAAACTTGAAAATTTGTCCCCGGGAAGGGTCGCTACGCCTCTGGGGGGTGACACCATTTAGTGCCGCACCGGGTGACACCCGACCTCGCTACGCCACTGCCACTGAGTGTGTGTGGAATTTTTAAAAAACTTTTGATTGAAAAGATACTGTTGAAAATGATAATCGATGGCAGTGTTTCTTCCAGACTTTTTCTCGGGGGGGGGGGGGGGTGGGGGAGGGGCACTTGAAATTTTTTTGGGGGGGGGGGGGGGCGAAGAGAGGCCTGGAAGAAACTCTGATCGATGGTCGGTTGCCAATAACTTATAAGTATATCTATATAAAAGTGCTATAATAAAGTAGAAAAAATAACACAAAATGCGTGTTTAATCGAAATTCGCTTTACATAATTCTACGTTAGGCCCTAGTTAGGATAGTTTATACTATTATAGATTCTAGATCTAGATCTAGATCTAGATCTAGTATAGACCTTCGGTTCTACGCAATGTAAGTTTATTTTTAACTTTTTCCGACTTCCGGTTTTGGGCCACTTGCAATATCGACGAACGATGGCCGTAAACATTACGAAGCAGATTGGGTTTTTGAAGTATATATCTATAACTGTAACATAATACGAGTTGCAACAACATTTCAAATTTACAAAGTGAGAATTGTTTTTAAAAAGTTTTTTCTTTAAACATTAATACTGAACTTTCTCGGTGTTACCGTTCAGTAATTTCAGCAATGAATTGGTAAATCTATAAAAAAAAATTAACTTCAATAAGAGAAGAAGAAGAGACTAGATTCTAGATCTAGATCTAAAGGTAGAGTGAGTACTGAGTGGTAATGCCTGGTAGACTTGGAAATATTACTGAAAAAATAAAAAATATCTAGATCTAGGCCTAATCTAATCTAGATCTAGTAAATCTAGATTCTAGATAGACTAGTCAGTCACTAGCTAGGTAGATCTAGACTTAAAGTGACTTAAACTACTATGTTTTTTTCTAGATCTAATTTAGAGGAGTTTACACTTTTCGGACACACACCAAAAATTACGTAGGAGCGAACACTTCGTCGGTTTTTGGCTCATAGAAACTTTAATTAGCATGTCTCACGCGAAACCACGGCGCCTGCACGTAAACTGTTCATTAATGAACACTTCCGTGTCAAGTACTTCCGTTTCCTTTCTCAAGAATTATTTTTAGAAATTTTTTAACGTTGCATGGTACGCACATTTCTATTTTTACACCAGCCGGATGAAGTGACCTAGGGTTGGACTTAGGGGCAAAACTTGAACCAATCAATGCTTAGCTAAAAGGTTACACTATAAATAGCTTCTATATAGGTATGGAACATCGTAAATGTCAAGGTTAATGGGTTTTTTTGTGCTTGAACAATAAAAAAGGGGTGTTCGCTAACTTATTTGGCCTTACATGGGACCGGACAGCAACACAAAAATATTATTAAATAAGAATTTAGAGCATAAAAGGGGCTGGTTATTGAAGGGAAAGGGTCAAAATAAGGTCAAGAAGGCAGTGGAATGCGAAAGAGGAGGGGGAATCATGTGACCTGGCTGGCTTAGCAGCGTACTGCGCGAGCCGCAATGGCTGAATGGGATGAACTTTGGGAGTGTGGGAAAAAGGTTTTATACTATTAAAATTACCTCACAAACAATCAATAACACAATATAAATGCATATAATATATGTTTTTATTCATTAAATTGACTTTAAATTATTCTAAATGAACAAAAAGTGCTATGTCTGATGACGGGTAAAGGTGTCCGAACACATGTAAAACTGTATTACATGTGTTCGAACAGTCACTATAACAAGAATAGCTTAAGTTCTATGCGTATGAATACAAAATGACACACACATTATTAAAGTAGAATGGTTGCGGATAGATATGATACTTTTTTTTGTTTTCTATGTTAAGCGGTTACTGAATGAGACCGCATGGAATTTTTACGTTGCGTTTTTTCGCTATGTGTGTCCGAAAAGTGTAAGCTCCTCTAGTAATTTAAGACTAATTTGATAGGCCTATAGAAAAATCTAATCTAGAGTCTAGTTGTTGAACTAGTTGAAGCAGTGGCGGAACTAGAAAAAAAGGGCCACCCCGCAAAAAAACGTGTTGGGCCCCATTTAGGCCTATAAATATAGGCCTATATATATATATATATATATATATATATATAGGGGCCTGTGTGTGTGTATAAATATATATAAACTAAATAGTAAATAGGCCAACGCAAATAGAATAGGCCTACTCAATACGGGCTTGTTCGAAATTTGAAAAAAATTAAAATCCTTAGTTTTTATTTTTAATTAAAACATATTAAAACAACACATCATTTGTGTCAGTGCTATTAGTCTGGTTTGAAATTCTTTGTTTCAATGTCTGACATATTGCTCCCCAATTTCAAGGCAGTCAAAAGAATATGAAGCATGAAAGCTTTGTATGTGTAATGGTTTCTCGCCTTATGTTTATTTTTAAGTATTTTTTATTTATATTATTAGTTTTTAATACATTTCCTCTTATACTATGTTATTCTTTATTGTGTATTTTTTTAAAAATAATAATTAAGAGAAGTAGGCCTAATTGCTTTTTAATTTGTTTAGTGCAAAAAAAAGTTTCTTAATTAAGAGCACACATATTTGACTATTTAAAAAAGGGAAATAAGTCATGGAAATGGTTTGAACGTTTGCCTATCTTTCACACTACAACTTATGTAGCTATATATGTTTTTTCTTTATGAAACAGTGTGTGTTAGCTACTGTAGAACATCACTACTGTAGTAGATCTGTTTGTTTGTTTTTTTGCAAAAAAATATTTTTTTTAACTATAAAAAAGTTGATTCTGGTCGGCTTTGGGCCCCTAAATGGCCTGGGCCCCCCCCGCATTGTGGGGTCTGGCGGCACTGTAGTTCTGCCCCTGTGTTGAATTTCTTCTTTTGTAGGCAATGGTGTGCACAACAGTCAACACTTACATTTATCATTTTATACATTATTCTTTCTTCTTCTTCGTTCTTAATTTTTAGTATAGGAAGGGATCGAGCCTTATCTGCCAGAGAGTTACTCGAGACATTTTTCGAATTTATCAACCATGTGCTTTGTCGACTCAACCATGCTTCCATCACAATTAAGGATTACGTGTCAACTGGTTATGCACCATTGAGGCCATTGACTCTGATTTCATCCTGCTTTTCTTTTTGGATTTGCTTCCATAGCCTTTGTCCAACCAAGAACAAACTACAAAGCAGCAGTTGTTTGATTTTGGAGTTGTCTCTCCTAGAAGAGTGGCTGTCCCCAGCTAACGAGCCTCATCTGCCCAAGGGTTCGAACTCGAGACTTTTCGGTTTAGCAACCATGAGTTTTACCGACTTGACCACACCGACCCCTTTATACATAATGATTACAACCACTCTTTGTAAGTGAGGGTCCAAATGATGTCTGATTGGTTTGCAACTCACAAGTGAACTAGATAGGCTAGATCATAAGATCTAGATCTAAATTAGGGGGCATTTTTATAGGGCCTACATGTCTCCAATATTAGAATAATAGAATTAGAATCTTCTTAAAGAAAGGGTGTTACTGTTAGTGCTACAGTACAGGTAGTTATCTAAAATTCTCACATGGCTTGCTAATTTAATTAGGGATATCATTGTCAATGCTAACAACCCTATCCAGTGTTGGTACATTGCGTAATGTGAAATGATGATGCGGTAAACTGCAAGAAGAAAATGCGAGACTTACCTTCAGAATCACTGGTAAATATCAAAACACAATTTGCCAAAAAAAATTTTGTTTCATGCTTTTTGGTTTATTGTTTTTTTAAGTTATAAACCAAACAAGCAGATATATCACATTCACAAGTGTTGTATGTTGATTTTTTTAATTCTCCTTTTTTTTTAAAATATAATTTTTAAAATCGTAACATCGTTGCTTTACTCCTACGTTCGCCCTCTCTCATTTTCTTGTTAGTGTGAGAAAAATCCTGTCTTGGTAGAAGGGTCACTGTGATTCAAGAAAGGGAGCAAAAAAAATTTTTATACTGGAAATTTGTAATCTCATATTTAATTAGTTAATTAAATATTGCTAAAGATAAATAAAGGGAGTTTAGTATTTAGTTTATTATTAACACAACAGTCCGGAACAAATTTAATAATTACTGTGTATGATTTTTCTAGTGGTTTTGAACATAGTGGTTTCTATGTCGACTCAAAAGATAGGGAAGTTGACAAATCATTAGTAGGCCTAAGTCTAATGATGGAAGTTTGAACAATTCAAAAGAAACATCTTTGAAGTCAAATATCACTGTAAGTCTGGTTGTGTTAGAAGTTTCGCAGATATCTTCACATATTACATCCACCCAGAGTACGTATCGGGTGGTGGTAATATGCCAGACAAAAATGTCACATGACAGGTGGATTTTGCGCCCTTCTCCAAGTTTACCGCCTCACTGTTTCGTGTTTCCCAATTTACCAACACACAACCCTATCAGTATCCCTAACTAATCCCAATCCTACCATATGCCTAACCCTAATTTCTAACCATAAATCAAGTTGAGATTACAATATTACAATAATATTTCTAATAACCTAACACAATTTTTGTGTGGGAAAGTCTATTATTGGACAATCAATGGTATCTTCAATCACCTGTAACTACTATTTATTTGCCAAAGGCTAAGGCTATTTCCTGTCAAATCAGCTATCATTTCATGCAATAAACTATAAAGGCCCCTATAGATCTTATATAGTAGTAAGTAGGAATTGTCTTACACTTATAATAAAAGTAACCTAGTAAGTAGCATGTTGTCTTAATGCAGAGTAGAAGTGACCTTTGACCCTAAGACTGTACCAATAGTCAGATCAGCAAGACATAAGCGTGTTCTAGTTTTTCTCTATTTGGCCAGTTGAGTTAGTGGCAGAATCTTCACAGAATCTCCTTAATGTTTCAGTGGGAGAATACAGACAAGAGTTTCCATACTATGCCAGAGAAAATTGCGACCTCAGTTTTTAACTTTAAAAATACACATTATTTAAAAGTGAACAACTGGCTAAATTTTGAGTGCTACAGGTCCCCAACTAAATGCTAAGGTAAATAAGGAAACACTTAAGAAATCTACAATGAAATTAAATAATTAAAATTGTGCCAGCTCTGAGAAAATTACTCTAATTAAAATTTGTAGTTATGATTGTTACTCTTTATGACATAGTGTACTGAGCAAATTGAAATACATATGGCTTTAAAAATTTTTGTTATATAACAGCTTAAAAAATAAGTTGATTCATAATAAGTATTATAAATAATAATAAAAGTATTGTGATAAAACATAGGAAACCATAACAAAAATCAAGCTTCTGTAGGGTGTAGATATTGACCAGTGGGCCATATTTGTGCTGTTTGATTTGTTCCCAAATTTCTGGACCATGACACAAGTTTATAAGGTTTTTTGCATGAATTATTTCAAGCCCTAAATTAGTTTTGGCATAATTATTGTATTTTGTTAGCTTCTAATGGATATACTTTGCATTGGAATATGTTATAAATTTAAAAAAAAATGTAATTCTGTATATACCCAACCCAGTTTTGAATTACAAATTACAAATTTTAATTTTGTATTTAGTAAACAGCTTTGACAATAATATCCAATATTCAGTTATTATTCACAGTTGAATCATTTTTTTGTAGTAGTTCTTTCTTTGCATTACCTGTAAAAATCTAGGGCACTTGACTTCCCCCTCCCTAAATTTGACAAAATTTTTCATGCTAACCATATTGCTTTTGGTGGGAATGGTGTGGTCAATGGTAGAGTGTTAAACTGCAAACCCAAAAGTCTCAAGTTTGGATCCCGCACTCAAACCAGTAGGACCTCCTAGACTCATGTGAGGGAACCAATGGTGGCATAGTGCTGACTACACTATCTCCTTGTATGCTGAGGTCATGGAACATATGAGCTCTACTTTATTTGCCCTATGTGTCTTGGGCATGAACTGGAAAAGATGATGTATTAATCTACTAAAGCTAAATTGTAAAGCATGATTTACATTTGGATATTTAGCATGTATAGACTTAGAGTTGAAATTCAAGTTTTTAATAAACATGTTTTGTTTCAGGTGAACAGAACAGGACTAATGGTTCATGCTGAATGATTCAACACTCAGTTGTACAACACTCAACTAAGCCATGGATTCTCTAGGCATTATTCCAGAGTTTGACCAAAGGGCTGTTTTACAGGTCAGATTCGTTGCTTTTTTTATATGAGTAGAGCTTTGACTTAATGGAGACAAGCGAGTTGACGAGATTCCTTCCATAGTATTGTTGACATGGAATAAAAACGTGCTTTTTAGATTTAGACCGTAAAAAAAAATAAAAAATAAAAACTTAAGCCTAAAATTAATTTAGAAATTTTATGTTTTTAGAATAAATGCTATAAAAGTTGCAAATCCAGAGAACTTGAAAATAATTTGTTGAGTTTAAGGCTAAATTTCTATTTATTTTCATCAAGCCTAAGTTATAACCGGATGTTTCACTTTCGTAAGACAAATATTGATTGGCTGTACAGTAACTTAGTGATCGATAACTATTTGTTTACAAAACTTTGCAGATCAAGTTTTTAAATAACAATGCAAATTTAAAACCCCATGACCTAGTTTTCTATTTTTAGCTAACAATGTGTACAATAAAATTTATGTCGGCCTATCCAATAGCAGGATGCCATTGTTTATGTCGCCATTACACGTGAAAACCAAATTGTTTTTGCTTTTTTTTTTTAATTTTTATTTAGTTACCGAAAATATTAAAAACAACAAATACGTCCAATCTTTAGTAAAGTCCGAAAAAAACCAGACAGACAGGATTTTATAACCATATTAATTGTAACTACGCCGTGCAAGATTTTTAAATTAATTTATGCACCTCTCACATACCTTTGAGACTTTTCTCGCTTGTGTCCATTATTCAGCAGAGTTGTACTATTAACTTTGCTTTGAGTAGAGCTTTGACTTAATTATTCAGCTGAGTTGTACTATTAACTTTGCTTTGAGTAGAGCTTTGACTTAATTATTCAGCAGAGTTGTACTATTAACTTTGCTTTGAGTAGAGCTTTGACTTGATTATTCAGCTGAGTTGTACTATTAACTTTGCTTTGAGTAGAGCTTTGACTTAATTATTTAGCTGAGTTGTACTATTAAATTTAGGCTTATGTTTATCCCAACAGAGGTGGCATGATGGCTTTCTCAACAACAAAGAAGCATTTGAACAAGCCGTTTATAATCATTTCAATAGCTTTGTTCCGCTAGTCTATGGTATGAATCTTCCCGCGGATAGAGAAGAAAAAAGAGCTAACAAATTACTTTTTCACCTGCTGGAGGAGTTTATGTGTCAGGGTGACCCTGTGGATGTGTTCCAGAAGTTACATCACTCGGATGAGCCGTCTCAGCTGTGTGGCCATAACTTTAAGAATGGAGAGCCCACCTATTCATGCAGGTAATGTACCCAGTGATTTGATCTCAGCTGTGTGGCCATAACTTTAAGAATGGAGAGCCCACCTATTCATGCAGGTAATGTACCCAGTGATTTGATCTCAGCTGTGTGGCCATAACTTTAAGAATGGAGAGCCCACCTATTCATGCAGGTAATGTACCCAGTGATTTGATCTCAGCTGTGTGGCCATAACTTTAAGAATGGAGAGCCCACCTATTCATGCAGGTAATGTACCCAGTGATTTGATCTCAGCTGTGTGGCCATAACTTTAAGAATGGAGAGCCCACCTATTCATGCAGGTAATGTACCCAGTGATTTGATCTCAGCTGTGTGGCCATAACTTTAAGAATGGAGAGCCCACCTATTCATGCAGGTAATGTACCCAGTGATTTGATCTCAGCTGTGTGGCCATAACTTTAAGAATGGAGAGCCCACCTATTCATGCAGGTAATGTACCCAGTGATTTGATCTCAGCTGTGTGGCCATAACTTTAAGAATGGAGAGCCCACCTATTCATGCAGGTAATGTACCCAGTGATTTGATCTCAGCTGTGTGGCCATAACTTTAAGAATGGAGAGCCCACCTATTCATGCAGGTAATGTACCCAGTGATTTGATCTCAGCTGTGTGACCATAACTTTAAGAATGGAGAGCCCACCTATTCATGCAGGTAATGTACCCAGTGATTTGATCTCAGCTGTGTGGCCATAACTTTAAGAATGGAGAGCCCACCTATTCATGCAGGTAATGTACCCAGTGATTTGATCTCAGCTGTGTGACCATAACTTTAAGAATGGAGAGCCCACCTATTCATGCAGGTAATGTACCCAGTGATTTGATCTCAGCTGTGTGGCCATAACTTTAAGAATGGAGAGCCCACCTATTCATGCAGGTAATGTACCCAGTGATTTGATCTCAGCTGTGTGGCCATAACTTTAAGAATGGAGAGCCCACCTATTCATGCAGGTAATGTACCCAGTGATTTGATCTCAGCTGTGTGACCATAACTTTAAGAATGGAGAGCCCACCTATTCATGCAGGTAATGTACCCAGTGATTTGATCTCAGCTGTGTGGCCATAACTTTAAGAATGGAGAGCCCACCTATTCATGCAGGTAATGTACCCAGTGATTTGATCTCAGCTGGGTGACCTTAAGTCAGTTCACTTGGTCTTCTGTTCTCTTGATACTGAATGTATGTGCTCAGCACTACAATTGATGTAAAGCTAACTGTACACACCATAGTATTGATCTCACTGCAGCACACTGCAACTTATTTCAGGGACTGTGCGTATGACCCAACGTGTGTGTTATGTATCACATGTTTTCAAGAGAGCTCTCACAGAAACCATAGATACAGGGTAGGTCAAAGATTTTTTATGGACATCTTCACATCTTAGACCAACTTTTGTGTCACCCAACTTTTGTATAATGAGCTACCAAATACAAAGAGTAAAGATTGAGAGTACTAAAGATCTGATTGATATTTTCTCTCCCCAAGATGAGCACCTCTGGTGGTGGGGGCTACTGTGACTGTGGGGACACTGAAGCCTGGAAGTCTGATCCTTTCTGTCAGCTTCACAAGCCAAGAAAGGAGGAAACAGAGGTAAACTGACCATTACATCTTGACCCTACCAACTGTAGTACCCTGACCATTGCAACTTGACCCTACCAACTGTAGTACCCTGACCATTACAACTTGACCCTACCAACTGTAGTCAGCCTACCCTGACCATTACATCTTGACCCTACCAACTGTAGTACCCTGACCATTACAACTTGACCCTACAAACTGTAGTACCCTGACCATTACAACTTGACCCTACCAACTGTAGTACCCTGACCATTACAACTTGACCCTACCAACTGTAGTACCCTGACCATTACAACTTGACCCTACCAACTGTAGTACCCTGACCATTGCAACTTGACCCTACCAACTGTAGTAACCTGACCATTACAACTTGACCCTACCAACTGTAGTACCCTGACCATTACAACTTGACCCTACCAACTGTAGTACCCTGACCATTACAACTTGACCCTACCAACTGCAGTACCCTGACCATTACAACTTGACCCTACCAACTGTAGTACCCTGACCATTACAACTTGACCCTACAAACTGTAGTACCCTGACCATTGCAACTTGACCCTACAAACTGTAGTACCCTGACCATTACAACTTGACCCCCACCAACTGTAGTACCCTGACCATTACAACTTGACCCTACCAACTGTAGTCAGCCTACCCTGACCATTACAACTTGACCCTACCAACTGTAGTACCCTGACCATTACAACTTGACCCTACCAACTGTAGTACCCTGACCATTACAACTTGATCTACCAACTGTAGTACACTGACCATTACAACTTGACCCTACCAACTGTAGCACCCTGACCATTACAACTTGACCCTACCAACTGTAGTCAGCCTACCCTGACCATTACAACTTGACCCTACCAACTGTAGTAACCTGACCATTACAACTTGTCCCTACCAACTGTAGTACCCTGACCATTACAACTTGATCTACCAACTGTAGTACCCTGACCATTACAACTTGACCCTACCAACTGTAGTACCCTGACCATTACAACTTGACCCTACAAACTGTAGTACCCTGACCATTACAACTTGACCCCCACCAACTGTAGTACCCTGACCATTACAACTTGATCTACCAACTGTAGTACCCTGACCATTACAACTTGACCCTACCAACTGTAGTACTCTGACCATTACAACTTAACCCTACCAACTGTAGTACCCTGACCATTACAACTTGACCCTACCAACTGTAGTACCCTGACCATTACAACTTGATCTACCAACTGTAGTACCCTGACCATTACAACTTGACCCTACCAACTGTAGTACCCTGACCATTACAACTTGACCCTACCAACTGTAGTACCCTGACCATTACAACTTGACCCTACCAACTGTAGTACCCTGACCATTACAACTTGACCCTACCAACTGTAGTACCCTGACCATTACAACTTGACCCTACCAACTGTAGTACCCTGACCATTACAACTTGACCCTACCAACTGTAGTACCCTGACCATTACAACTTGACCCTACCAACTGCAGTACCCTGACCATTACAACTTGACCCTACCAACTGTAGTACCCTGACCATTACAACTTGACCCTACCAACTGTAGTACCCTGACCATTACAACTTGACCCTACCAACTGTAGTACCCTGACCATTACAACTTGACCCTACCAACTGTAGTACCCTGACCATTACAACTTGACCCTACCAACTGTAGTACCCTGACCATTACAACTTGACCCTACCAACTGTAGTACTCTGACCATTACAACTTGACCCTACCAACTGTAGTACCCTGACCATTACAACTTGACCCTACCAACTGTAGTACCCTGACCATTACAACTTGACCCTACCAACTGTAGTACCCTGACCATTACAACTTAGAAATTTTCCACTTTTCCAGAGTGATAGTGGCACCATTCCTCCAGAACTGGAGAAAAGTATGAGCTGGGTATTCCGGTCTGTGTTGAGATATGCTTCAGTTATGCTGACCTCTGATGAAAACACAAATTTGCCACTGGGTTTGAACTCTATTGGTGATACCAGTGCTAATGTGTACATGTGTATGTTGTACAATGACGAGGTGCACACGTATGACCAGGTCAGTTCCCTACTGTTGTTCTGATTCAAATGTCCTCACCTATGGGAAGCTATTTGCTGTGTAACCCAATGAATGTGCCTTGTCTCCTCAGGTGATCAACATCTTACAGAGAGCAGTAGACTGCAACCACAGACAGGCTTTAGAATATGCTACCACTGTAGACAGGGAGGTAGGAGTCTTGCCTGTAATGTCATTACTTACAGCCAGAGATGGGAGAGTCTTGCCTGTAATGTCATTACTAGGGATGTGGCTCAAGTGACCTGCAAGTTTTAGCAGAAATCCAATGTTTGAGCTGCAGTGGTCCTCTGCTCATTTGATCTTTTTCTCAATTTTCCCCTGATTTTTGGAAAATACATAAATGACCTCTCTGGAAACTGCTGACATACGTATTTCAAAAAAATTTAGAACAAAAAATGATTCTAAAATGTTGACATTCTTGAAATGAAAAAATAGCCTACTTCTCCTGAGCTTGATTTCTTTACAGCACGTGCTGTAGTCTAGCTATAATTTATCTACCAGCATTTGAATTCACCCTCTGTTTATAAAGCTAACTAACCCTAACCCCCACTACCATTTCCGTCAGGTTTCCATTTAATTTTGGAACCTCAAATTCATTTTGAAGAGCTAATGTGAACTCACCATGATCCCTCACAACATGTCTTGTTTGTGAGGGAAAATTGCCATACCTGCCTTCAGGGTTACATAATGTCCCATGTATAGGGAAAATTGCCATACCTGCCATCAGGGTTACATAATGCCCCATGTATAGGGAAAATTGCCATACCTGCCATCAGGGTTACATAATGCCCCATGTATAGGGAAAATTGCCATACCTGCCATCAGGGTTACATAATGTCCCATGTATAGGGAAAATTGCCATACCTGCCATCAGGGTAACATAATGTCCCATGTAGAGGGAAAATTGCCATACCTGCCATCAGGGTTACATAATGCCCCATGTATAGGAAAATTGCCATACCTGCCATCAGGTTACATAATGTCCCATGTATAGGGAAAATTGCCATACCTGCCATCAGGGTTACATAATGTCCCATGTATAGGGAAAATTGCCATACCTGCCATCAGGGTTACATAATGTCCCATGTAGAGGGAAAATTGCCATACCTGCCATCAGGTTACATAATGTCCCATGTATAGGGAAAATTGCCATACCTGCCATCAGGGTTACATAATGTCCCATGTATAGGGAAAATTGCCATACCTTCCTTCAGGGTTACATAATGTCCCATGTATAGGGAAAATTGCCATACCTGCCATCAGGGTTACATAATGTCCCATGTATAGGGAAAATTGCCATACCTGCCTTCAGGGTTACATAATGTCCCATGTATAGGGAAAATTGCCATACCTGCCATCAGGGTTACATAATGCCCCATGTATAGGGAAAATTGCCATACATGCCATCAGGGTTACATAATGTCCCATGTATAGGGAAAATTGCCATACCTGCCTTCAGGGTTACATAATGTCCCATGTATAGGGAAAATTGCCATACCTGCCATCAGGGTTACATAATGCCCCATGTATAGGGAAAATTGCCATACCTGCCATCAGGGTTACATAATGCCCCATGTATAGGGAAAATTGCCATACCTGCCATCAGGTTACATAATGTCCCATGTATAGGGAAAATTGCCATACCTGCCTTCAGGGTTACATAATGTCCCATGTATAGGGAAAATTGCCATACCTGCCATCAGGTTACATAATGTCCCATGTATAGGGAAAATTGCCATACCTGCCTTCAGGGTTACATAATGTCCCATGTATAATGCCAGCATCAAACTCTGGTAACAAGAAGTGTTTTCTCCAGGGTCGAAGCTGTGTCAAGAATGGAACTTTTGAAGAATGTGACAGTGTCAGACAGACCATAGAGGTAAATGCTGTGTAAACTAACACTCACATTTTATTGACTGGTTGCCAGATTTCTTCTTTTTATGATTTTATACAGTAAAAGTTGTTTGGTTTGTCCATCTCATAGAGTAAAAATTGTTTTTACAGGCTTTTATTGAGTTCACGATGTCTGTTTGCTTGTTTGTGGCAAATCTTGTTACTCCATTTTAACCCACTCTTCTCCAATGACAATGCAAAAATATCTCATTTTTATTCTAATTAGATAGACAATTAGTCATTAAAATTTAATTTATAAATGTTGTAACAAAAGGGGAGATAACAACAGATTAAGTCTCAAGCAGTCTCTCAATCAGCCTTTTTAAAACACTCAACTATTTGAGGTCATCTGGTTGTGGTCAACTATTTGTGGTCAACTGTTTGTGGTCAACAGTTTGTCACAGAAGACGTGTGTTAGCTCTGTCTTTTAAAGATCACAAGCTACTGATTGGGTTTTGATGCAAAAAAGTTTAGTTGTAGCCGATGTGGTGGTGTCAAGTTCATTTAGAACAAAGTACTAAAACGCGGAAAATAAAACAAATATCAAAAAATTGTTTACAATCATAAGCTTTTAAATGAGCTGAAAATAATAAAATGCAACAAATTAGGCTCCTTTAATAAAAGTTTTGGTCACTAAAATATGTCAGCAACCAAAACTTGCATTAAAGAAATTTTGTTTTATTTTCTTGTTTTTATGCATTTCAAATGTTCCAATTCTAAAGGTTTTTGTTTTATGTTTGTCTAGAGAAGTACCTCCCGTCATGGCAGCAAGGCCCTGAAGGTTGAAGTGATGGTCAAAGAGCTGGTGGCACATCAACAGTTTGCCCTCAAGATACTCAGCTGGCTACAGACTGTCAGTGATAAAGCCAGTAAATATCTTTTTTTTTACCCTCTCTATTTCTGTCATGTCTGCAGGCTGGCACATTCTGGGAGATCAAATTTGGTTATTGTTAATGGGAGAGACAGAGATCAAATTTGGTTATTGTTAATGGGAGAGACTGTCTGAGAGATCAAATTATTACTGCAGGGTACTTATTTACCCATTAAGTTTACTCTAGTGACAGGCTTTCTCAAAATTTGTTTAGGGAAGTAAAGAGTCATTTAAGATTGCATCTGCTTAAACATTAAAGATAATAGTTTCACTTTTCTGTCTGTCTGTCAAACAAAAAATGAAACCTCCTAAGAGCATGATGTCACATGGAACATATAGGAAATTTTCAAAACGAAACAAGATACCACAAAAATTATTTCAAAGAATAATGGCAAGGAGAGGGGCTGCACACAAAAAAATAATGTAATAAATGTCTGGGTTTGTGGCAAATCTTGTAACTCAGTTTTGAACCACTTCTATCGCAGCAATGTTTTTAGTTTAAAATGGGATATTTGTTTTTAAATGTATAAAATCAATATTTACTATTTCTAAAAAAAACCTTATAATAGGCTTTTAAATGTCCTGAAAATAAGAAAACAAAACACTTACTTTAATGCTTACTTTAATAAAAAGTATTGAAATCTCTCACACGTTTAGCAACCACTACTCGTTTTAGAAAGCAGGTTTTGGCTAGTTAAAAAAACAACACAACCACAAGAACTCAACATAGTCCGGTGATGAAAGTATTTACATGTTTGAGGATAGATTCTATGGAATTGAAGATGCACTTATCTAAAGCTAAAAAAAATCCAGCTTTTGAACAATGTCACATATCTTTAGTTATGTCAGTTTAAGTACTGTTATCTCACTTTGTGTAATAAAGATATAAACAATGCTCAAAGTTGGGCTGATTGTGCCAGCTTTTACATCTATTTATTATAGAGAAATGTATATGATATTGTGATATTTTCCATAACAGAACTGGTTTGCACATTAAAAAAGAGTCTAATTATGTTAAAGTTGTTCTCCTGTGTAGTTGCCCTGACTTCCTGCATCAATTGATCTTGTATATTATGTTGAAGATTTGAAACTTGTTCTCCTGTGTAGTTGCCCTGAATGCCTGCATCAATTGATCTTGTATATTATGTTGAAGATTTGAAACTTGTTCTCCTGTGTAGTTGCCCTGAATGCCTGCATCAATTGATCTTGTATATTATGTTGAAGATTTGAAACTTGTTCTCCTGTGTAGTTGCCCTGAATGCCTGCATCAACTGATCTTGTATATTATGTTGAAGATTTGAAACTTGTTCTCCTGTGTAGTTGCCCTGAATGCCTGCATCAATTGATCTTATATTGAACCTGCAGGTTGGATCAGAAAGCTGCTGTGTGGTGTCCTGATGGAGCCTAGCACTACATCACTCTCTGTACTGGAGGAGTTTATAAAAGCTGATACACAACTCTGGAAAGGTGGCTCTTTTACTGCTTCTTCTTTCATCTTTAGAATCATATGGGCCTTTGTGCTGTAATCTTGTTACATGTCCAGACCATTTCAGTTTCATCTGCCTCTTAATTGTAATGTTGGATGGGATTTCCTCCAATACAATTGCAGATTGTTCTGTGGGGGGAGGAGGTAAGAAGAGAAGGTAAGCAAAAAAAGCTGGAAATAGGCCATAATGATGTATACCGTGTTGCCACCTAATACTTAATTGTGTTTGAGAAAATCCCCTTCAATGCTACAATTAAGAAGAAAGATGGATAGAACTATATGCAAACAATTGCAAGAAGTAAATGGAACATGGCTCTAACTGCATCAAGACCTAGATACACCATTGATATCTTTGATAGACAAAAAAGTAGAGTTAATTATATCAGCTGCCAAGAACTGCAATTCACTACAGCAGGTCATTTAGTCATTTGCCACTGTGCACTTTGATAGAAGTCTATTCTCTACAAATGTTTTCTTTTCAGTTGCAAGAGTTCAAAGTCATCAGCTTATCATGTCTTGGTAAGACTTGTTTCTCATTTCTTGGCTTGTCATATGTACATGTTCAGTCATGGGATAGATTTTCACCTGCCAATTTTCTTGTATTTCAACTAACTAGATTTCTATATTGACACATTTTATTTCAGTGTTTTGAAGGACCCTCCATCCAAAAAACAATTTTCTGTGATATTCACTAAGGTAGTTGATCATTTTCTTTTCTTGTGTGAATATTCAAATATATTTGAATGTGCTCTGCAGACTGGCTTTACAAAGAGTAGAAGAGAAAAAAAACAACTGTTAGTGCAAACTAAGTGCTGAAATTTTTTGTGGGAAGTGGTAACCAGGAAAGTTGAATCTCATTAGGAGGGGCTTGTTGATATGATGGGGAAATTAATCAAGCTAAATCTCATTAGGAGGGGCTTGTTGATATGATGGGGAAATTAATCAAGCTAAATCTCATTAGGAGGGGCTTGTTGATATGATGGGGAAATTAATCAAGCTAAATCTCATTAGGAGGGGCTTGTTGATATGATGGGGAAATTAATCAAGCTAAATCTCATTAGGAGGGGCTTGTTGATATGATGGTGAAATTAATCAAGCTAAATCTCATTAGGAGGGGCTTGTTGATATGATGGGGAAATTAATCAAGCTAAATCTCATTAGGAGGGGCTTGTTGATATGATGGGGAAATTAATCAAGCTAAATCTCATTAGGAGGGGCTTGTTGATATGATGGGGAAATTAATCAAGCTAAATCTCATTAGGAGGGGCTTGTTGATATGATGGGGAAATTAATCAAGCTAAATCTCTTTAGGAGGGGCTTGTTGATATGATGGGGAAATTAATCAAGCTAAATCTCATTAGGAGGGGCTTGTTGATATGATGGGGAAATTAATCAAGCTAAATCTCATTAGGAGGGGCTTGGTGATATGATGGGGAAATTAATCAAGCTAAATCTCATTAGGAGGGGCTTGGTGATATGATGGGGAAATTAATCAAGCTAAATCTCATTAGGAGGGGCTTGGTGATATGATGGGGAAATTAATCAAGCTAAATCTCATTAGGAGGGGCTTGTTGATATGATGGGGAAATTAATCAAGCTAAATCTCATTAGAAGGGGCTTGGTGATATGATGGGGAAATTAATCAAGCTAAATCTCATTAGTAAGGGCTTGTTGATATGATGGGGAAATTAATCAAGCTAAATCTCATTAGGAGGGGCTTGGTGATATGATGGGGAAATTAATCAAGCTAAATCTCATTAGAAGGGGCTTGGTGATATGATGGGGAAATTAATCAAGCTAAATCTCATTAGGAGGGGCTTGTTGATATGATGGGGAAATTAATCAAGCTAAATCTCATTAGGAGGGGCTTGTTGATATGATGAGGAAATTAATCAAGCTAAATCTCATTAGGAGGGGCTTGGTGATATGATGGGGAAATTAATCAAGCTAAATCTCATTAGGAGGGGCTTGTTGATATGATGGTGAAATTAATCAAGCTAAATCTCATTAGGAGGGGCTTGTTGATATGATGGGGAAATTAATCAAGCTAAATCTCATTAGGAGGGGCTTGTTGATATGATGGGGAAATTAATCAAGCTAAATCTCATTAGGAGGGGCTTGTTGATATGATGGGGAAATTAATCAAGCTAAATCTCATTAGGAGGGGCTTGTTGATATGATGGGGAAATTAATCAAGCTAAATCTCATTAGGAGGGGCTTGGTGATATGATGGGGAAATTAATCAAGCTAAATCTCATTAGGAGGGGCTTGGTGATATGATGGGGCAATTAATCAAGCTAAATCTCATTAGGAGGGGCTTGGTGATATGATGGGGAAATTAATCAAGCTAAATCTCATTAGGAGGGGCTTGTTGATATGATGGGGAAATTAATCAAGCTAAATCTCATTAGAAGGGGCTTGGTGATATGATGGGGAAATTAATCAAGCTAAATCTCATTAGTAAGGGCTTGTTGATATGATGGGGAAATTAATCAAGCTAAATCTCATTAGAAGGGGCTTGGTGATATGATGGGGAAATTAATCAAGCTAAATCTCATTAGGAGGGGCTTGTTGATATGATGGGGAAATTAATCAAGCTAAATCTCATTAGGAGGGGCTTGTTGATATGATGGGGAAATTAATCAAGCTAAATCTCATTAGGAGGGGCTTGTTGATATGATGGGGAAATTAATCAAGCTAAATCTCATTAGGAGGGGCTTGTTGATATGATGGGGAAATTAATCAAGCTAAATCTCATTAGGAGGGGCTTGTTGATATGATGGGGAAATTAATCAAGCTAAATCTCATTAGGAGGGGCTTGTTGATATGATGGGGAAATTAATCAAGCTAAATCTCATTAGGAGGGGCTTGTTGATATGATGGGGAAATTAATCAAGCTAAATCTCATTAAGAGGGGCTTGTTGATATGATGGGGAAATTAATCAAGCTAAATCTCATTAGGAGGGGCTTGTTGATATGATGGGGAAATTAATCAAGCTAAATCTCATTAGGAGGGGCTTGTTGATATGATGGGGAAATTAATCAAGCTAAATCTCATTAGGAGGGGCTTGGTGATATGATGGGGAAATTAATCAAGCTAAATCTCATTAGGAGGGGCTTGGTGATATGATGGGGAAATTAATCAAGCTAAATCTCATTAGGAGGGGCTTGGTGATATGATGGGGAAATTAATCAAGCTAAATCTCATTAGGAGGGGCTTGGTGATATGATGGGGAAATTAATCAAGCTAAATCTCATTAGAAGGGGCTTGGTGATATGATGGGGAAATTAATCAAGCTAAATCTCATTAGGAGGGGCTTGTTGATATGATGGGGAAATTAATCAAGCTAAATCTTATTAGTAAGGGCTTGTTGATATAATGGGGAAATTAATCAAGCTAAATCTCATTAGTAAGGGCTTGGTGATATGATGGGGAAATTAATCATGCTAAATCTCATTAGGAGGGGCTTGGTGATATGATGGGGAAATTAATCAAGGACAGCTTAACAAGCTTATCAAGACATTCACATCTGGGAAGATGTCAATCTTCGTCTTGGAATATATATATATATATATATTCATCCTCATTAGAGAGTATGTACATTCTCAGCTGGGAGTGTGTACACCCTCAGCTGGGAGTGTGTACACCCTCAGCTGGGAGTGTGTACATCCTCAGCTGGGAGTGTGTACACCCTCAGCTGGGAGTGTGTACATCCTCAGCTGGGAGTGTGTACATCCTCAGCTCTACATCCTCAGCTGGGAGTGTGTACACCCTCAGCTGGGAGTGGGTACATCCTCAGCTGGGAGTGTGTACACCCTCAGCTGGGAGTGTGTACATCCTCAGCTCTACATCCTCAGCTGGGAGTGTGTACACCCTCAGCTGGGAGTGTGTACACCCTCAGCTGGGAGTGTGTACACCCTCAGCTGGGAGTGTGTACACCCTCAGCTGGGAGTGTGTACACCCTCAGCTGGGAGTGTGTACATCCTCAGCTGGGAGTGTGTACACCCTCAGCTGGGAGTGTGTACACCCTCAGCTGGGAGTGTGTACACCCTCAGCTGGGAGTGTGTACACCCTCAGCTGGGAGTGTGTACACCCTCAGCTGGGAGTGTGTACACCCTCAGCTGGGAGTGTGTACACCCTCAGCTGGGAGTGTGTACACCCTCAGCTGGGAGTAAATATATCCACTGAAAGCTGACCTGCTACAGTAGCATGTGAGTGTAAGGGGACTAAAATAATTGCCAATAAAATACATAAATCTTGATATGTTAAATAAATCTAGTGGGGCAGATATGTTGATGTATTAAATAAATCTGTTTATCTGAATAGGGCATTAAAAATGAGCATCATTTGTAAGTTGTTGTCCAACTAATTGAGAAATGTTTAAAGCATGGGTCCTGGCCAACTGTTTCAGTGGTACCCCTATATGGTGCGCAAGTTCAGTGAAGATGATCATGACCACGACGTCTCTATGCCCAGCCTCTCTGTACAGATATTCACTGTTCCCAGTTTGGTAGGCACACCCCTGCCTCATGCATTGGTTTCTTTTTGCTTGCTTTGTGTTAGCTGTCTGTGCCAGGTGGGACAACTACGGCACAGACCTTGTTGTTTACACTTTGGTTGTGTTCTGTTCCCAGTCCATCTAACTCTCAGACTAACCAGCACTCATCACTTGCTAACTCATGCTCCAACTGCTTGACTTCAAACAGATGACTTGTATTTGGTACCATAAATCTTGACGTTAAACAGATGACTTGTATTTGGTACCATAAATCTTGACGTTAAACAGATGACTTGTATTTGGTACTATAAATCTTGACGTTAAACAGATGACTTGTATTTGGTACCATAAATCTTGACGTTAAACAGATGACTTGTAATTTTACACATGCTAGAATTTGGTAAAATGAAACTTGACCCATAAGACTTTTAATTTTACACAAGCTAGTATTTGGAACAAGAAAACTTGACTGATACTGTATGACTTTTTAATGTTAGACTCGTATGTTAGTTGTATGTGCCAGACAAGACATTGTGTAAAGCTAGGGACAGCTGCCATTTGTATGGGTCAGACAAGACATTGTGTAAAGCTAGGGACAGTTGCCATTAGTATGTGCCAGACAAGACTTGTTCCCCTATGGATATGATAGCTATCCATAGGTGAGCAAGTAGGGCATGGTGTCCTTGAAACAGTCTCAGTGTCACCTGTTTCACTTTTATCTTGTAGTGCTATTCTGAGATGTACAAAGAGTTTTTGCAAGACGACCACTCCCGTTCCCATTCAGTAACTCGCCTATCTCTGCAGTTGTTTGGGACCCCTTCATTGGTAGGTTTGACTTTTTATCTCTGAGTAGGGATTGCTTGCTCTCCCTTGCTGAGAAGCCTTACCTTAATCAAAGTCTGAACAAAAATGGCCTGACAGTTTTCAGAAAAACTGCTTCTCTCTTCATCACAGGGTTCCTACTTATATGGCTGGGAGTCCATTCATACTTGATATAAAAACAGTTTAGTCATTCAACAAATAGTTCTTTTAAAGTAGTGTAATGCTAAGGTTAATGTACCATGGCCCACAGCTACACATCTTGAATAGGCACAACACAAAGCTTCTGTGCTTCAGTTGATGGTAGACAACTGTAAATACAGTACTTAACTCACAAAGATATCATTGCTTGAACTGTTTGCATTTGGTACCAAAGTTTTCTAAAGTTTAATTGTAATGGTTAGTATTAATATATAACTTCTGTGAGCATAATCTCACATCTGTTCAGTAACACCTCTTTCAGGTGTCTTCAGTTTGTGCTCATTACACATGACAACATTTACACCCTGACTCATTACACATGACAACATTTACACCCTGACTCATTACACATGACAACATTTACACCCTGACTCATTACACATGACAACATTTACACCCTGACTTATTACACATGACAACATTTACACCCTGACTCATTACACATGACAACATTTACACCCTGACTCATTACACATGACAACATTTACACCCTGACTCATTACACATGACAACATTTACACCCTGACTCATTACACATGACAACATTTACACCCTGACTCATTACACATGACAACATTTACACCCTGACTCATTACACATGACAACATTTACACCCTGACTCATTAAACATGACAACTTTTACACCCTGACTCATTACACATGACAACTTTTACACCCTGACTCATTACACATGACAACATTTACACCCTGACTCATTACACATGACAACATTTACACCCTGACTCATTACACATGACAACATTTACACCCTGACTCATTACACATGACAACATTTACACACTGACTCATTACACATGACATTTACACCCTGACTCATTACACATGACAACATTTACATCCTGACTCATTACACATGACAACATTTACACCCTGACTCATTAATCATGACAACATTTATACCCTGACTCATTAATCATGACAATATTTACACCCTGACTCAATTATGACAATATTTCTACCCTGACCCAACAATTGCCATGACAATATTTCTACCCTAACCCACACAATTATATGACAATACTTCTACCCTGACTCAGACAATTATATGACAATATTTCTACCCTGACCCACACAATTATATGACAATATTTCCCTAAACATGATGAGTGTGTATACAATAGAGCTCTACAAAAAAAAAATCAAGTTTGGGTCAAATGTCTTGCAAGACTCTTGTACAGTTCAGAGTTTTCTGCTTGAGATACTCACAGTTTTATGCTTGGCTTAGGTTGACACTTTGTTTTTCATCATAATTCTATTTGATGGTACAAAATAAACTTAAAGTGTTAAGTTATGCGGCACAGTGTTTAGTTATGAGGCAAACATTCAGTACAATAGGTGTAGAACACCTTTGAGACACCAGACACCAACCAGAACACCTTGGAGATACCAGACACCAACCAGAATAACTTTGAGACACCAGACACCAACCAGAACACCTTTGAGACACCAGACACCAACCAGAACACCTTTGAGGTAACACACCAGACACCAACCAGAACACCTTTGAGACACCAGACACCAACCAGAACACCTTTGAGATATCACACTGTATACTAACCAGAACACCTTTGAGATACTACACCAGACACCAACCAGAACACCTTTGAGGTAACACACCAGACACCAACCAGAACACCTTTGAGGTAACACACCAGACACCAACCAGAACACCTTTGAGACACCAGACACCAACCAGAACACCTTTGAGATACCACACCAGACACCAACCAGAACACCTTTGAAATACCACACCAGACACCAACCAGAACACCTTTGAGATACCACACCAGACACCAACCAGAACACCTTTGAGATACCACACCAGACACCAACCAGAACACCTTTGAGAAACCACACCAGACACCAACCAGAACACCTTTGAGACACCAGACACCAACCAGAACACCTTTGAGACACCAGACACCAACCAGAACACCTCTGAGACACCAGACACCAACCAGAACACCTCTGAGACACCAGACACCAACCAGAACACCTTTGAGATACCACACCAGACACCAACCAGAACACCTTTGAGACACCAGACACCTTTGAGACACCAGACACCAACCAGAACACCTTCAAGATACCACACCAGACACCAACCAGAACACCTTTGAGATACCACACCAGACACCAACCAGAACACCTTTGAGATACCACACCAGACACCAACCAGAACACCTTTGAGATACCACACCAGACACCAACCAGAACACCTTTGAGAAACCACACCAGACACCAACCAGAACACCTTTGAGACACCAGACACCAACCAGAACACCTTTGAGACACCAGACACCAACCAGAACACCTCTGAGACACCAGACACCAACCAGAACACCTTTGAGATACCACACCAGACACCAACCAGAACACCTTTGAGACACCAGACACCAACCAGAACACCTTCAAGATACCACACCAGACACCAACCAGAACACCTTTGAGATACCACACCAGACACCAACCAGAACACCTTTGAGATACCACACCAGACACCAACCAGAACACCTTTGAGAAACCACACCAGACACCAACCAGAACACCTTTGAGATATCACACCGGATACTAACCAGAACACCTTTGAGACACCACACCAGACACCAACCAGAACACCTTTGAGATACCACACCAGACACCAACCAGAACACCTTTGAGATATCACACCGGATACTAACCAGAACACCTTTGAGACACCAGACACCAACCAGAACACCTTCAAGATACCACACCAGACACCAACCAGAACACCTTTGAGATACCACACCAGACACCAACCAGAACACCTTTGAGGTAACACACCAGACACCAACCAGAACACCTTTGAGAAACCACACCAGACACCAACCAGAACACCTTTGAGACACCACACCAGACACCAACCAGAACACCTTTGAGACACCAGACACCAACCAGAACACCTTTGAGATATCACACCAGATACTAACCAGAACACCTTTGAGACACCACACCAGACACCAACCAGAACACCTTTGAGACACCACACCAGACACCAACCAGAACACCTTTGAGACACCAGACACCAACCAGAACACCTTCGAGATACCACACCAGACACCAACCAGAACACCTTTGAGATACCACACCAGACACCAACCAGAACACCTTTGAGACACCAGACACCAACTAGAACACCTTTGAGATAACACACTAGACACCAACCAGAACACCGGATAGCACATAGTAGTAGGACGGTGTAAACTTTCAAATGTTTGCCTCAGTAATCAACTTCTAAATGTTTGCCTCAATAATCAACTTTTAAATGCTTGCCTCAATAATCAACTTTTAAATGCTTGCCTCAATAATCAACTTTTAAATGTTTACCTCAATCAACTTTTAAATGCTTGCCTCAATAATCAACTTCTAAATGTTTGCCTCATTAATCAACTCTTAAATGTTTGCCTCAATAATCAACTTTTAAATGTTTGCCTCAATAATCAATTTTTAAATGTTTGCCTAAATAATCAACTTTTAAATGTTTGCCTCAGTAATCAAATTTTAAATGCTTGTTATGTATGTATTGCTGCCACCTTGTTCAATTATTGCTTATACTCTTTTTAAATAGGCTGTGGACTTTTTTTTTAATTGCTGCTTTGTAAACCCTTATATATTTGGTCTTATTAATATTAATAACAACAACAAAAAACACCTTATTTCCTCAACAATTTGCTTTTAATTTTAATTTCCCATGCTTTATTGGGAAACTGAATTTTAATTAATTGAAATTAATTTACAATACTTATGCTGTATCAAATATTTTTTTAAAATTTAATTTTTTAATGTGTTAGTTAATATGCCTATACTCGTAAAATATCTATTCTGTTAATATGTTTAAAAACCTTGAATTCCTCTTAATTTAAACAATTAAATACTTTTATGTTTAAAAAATGTTTAGTAGATCAACCTACACTGGATGTTGATCAGTAAACTATCATTTTGCGTTTTTCAATTTAATTTTAGACTAACCTCCCCTTTGAACTAGGATGTTGATTGTAGATTTTTGTTCTCATTCTGATTGTAGACTTATCTCCCCTCTAGACTAGGATGTTGATTGTAGATTTTTGTTCTAATTCTGATTGTAGACTTATCTCCCCTCTAGACTAGGATGTTGATTGTAGATTTTTGTTTTCATTCTGATTGTAGACTTATCTCCCCTCTAGACTAGGATGTTTATTGTAAATTTGCCTCCCCTTTAGACTAGGATGTTGATTGTAAATTTGTCTCCCCTCTAGGCTAGGATGTTGATAGTAAATTTGTCTCCCCTTTAGACTAGGATGTTGATTGTAAATTTGTCTCCCCTCTAGGCTAGGATGTTGATTGTAAATTTGTCTCCCTTCTAGGCTAGGATGTTGATTGTAAATTTGTCTCCCTTCTGGACTAGGATGTTGATTGTAAATTTGTCTCCCCTCTAGGCTAGGATGTTGATTGTAAATGTCTCCCCTCTAGGCTAGGATGTTGATTGTAAATTTGTCTCCCCTCTAGGCTAGGATGTTGATTGTAAATTTGTCTCCCCTCTAGGCTAGGATGTTGATTGTAAATTTGTCTCCCTTCTAGACTAGGATGTTGATTGTAAATTTGTCTCCCTTCTAGGCTAGGATGTTGATTGCAGATCATGATCTCATTACTGTCATCACCAAAGCTTTCCTTACCGCTTGTGAGCGCAAGAAAAATCGTGAGTAGTTCTTTAATTAGCAACACTTTTAATTGATGTCCATTTACTTCATAACTCATGTCCTTAACTGCTTAACTCATGTTTACTTTGTACTTTGTTTAATGCTTGTTTTTGTTTTTCCAGCCCAAGGCAAACTATCATTTGACAGAACAGACCGTAACAATGTCTTTAAAAGATCTATATTTGTCCTACATGATCTAAAGTGAGTGTCTGCATGGTGAATTTATTTGTTTAGCTTGTTTTCAGTGGCTGTTTATTGTGTGTAAGCTCTAGATGGCCAGCCAGTGCCCGTAAGCTCTAGATGGCCAGCCAGTGCCTGTAAGCTCTAGATGGCCAGCCAATGTGCTTTAAGCAAGTGGCCTCTTTTTCTTGCAGATATGCCCTTGTTTGCAAGCCTATTGCTCCAGAGGAATGGACCGAGCCCCTGAAAGATAATTTCCTGAGGGGCCTCACCACATTTTTACAGCTGCTCTCTCTCATACAGGTTACACTGCTATTTACTTGGCTCTCTAATTAGTCATCACATTTGCCCAGTAATCAAGGGCTAGTTTAATTTCAACCTAATAATGTTTGTATACATTGTTCAGCACTGAGTTACATCACTAGCATGTATTCATCAATCTTTTGTTAAGGAGCTTTTTTATCTCTTCCATACATGAATTGTTTGATACATCTGAATGAATTGTTTGATAGATTTGTATCAATTGTTTAGGGAATGGACTCAGTGAAAAGACAAACTGGTCAGCATTTAGAATTTGACCCAGAGTGGGAGGGGGCTTTCACAATACAGATTAAACTAGAGGACATCCTTGTGCTTTTTTGTGACTGGTGTGTTGCTGATGTAAGTAGGTCATTTGGTGGCTGGCATAAGTAGGTCATTTGGTGACTGATGTGTTGATGGTGTAAGTAGGTCATTTAGTGACTGGTATGTTGATAGTGTAAGTCACTTTTCTCCTGTCCACTGACTTCTGTTGTCCACCAACCACTGACTCCTGTTGTCCACTGACCACTGACTCCTGTTGTCCACTGACTCCTGTTGTCCACTGACTCCTGTTGTCCACTG